GTCTCTATCAAGGAAGTTAATGAGGAATTGAAGGTTACTATCAGTAGCTTGGAGTTACAGTTAACGACCTTGAATGCCAAATTGGAGTCTGCTCTGAGTTTGGTTGACGAAGAGAAACTGAAGATCGAGGAAGAGTTGGCTTCTGAAAAATTGAGGTTGAAAGACTTGGAGAGCCAAAACTCTATTTTGTTGAACCAGTTGGAGTTGCTGAAAAACACTTCCCAGTTATCTTCAGAAACTGGAGATGATACCAACTCCTTGTATGAATTGCGCCAAGTACTCGGCTATGTTCGTCGTGAAAAGGAAAGTGCTGAATCCAAAGTATCAGGATTGACTGAAGATATCCGGAGACTTGAGTTGAGATTAAGCTCCACTGTTTCAGAATTGGAATCCGTTAAAGCTGAACTGGCCAACTCCAAGAGCATATTTAGCTTTGAAAGCTCGAACAAAGAACACGAACGATTATTGGAGCAATTAGAACAGATGAACGTCTTACGTGAAAGCAATACCACGTTGCGCAATGAGAACCAAGAGTACATTAAGCAGATTCAAAGGTTCGAAGTGCAACTCAAGGCTATTCAAGGTAAGAGTAATCCTTTGAATTCTCAAATCAAGAGCTTGAACGACACAATTCAAGAGAAGGATCAATCAATCAGGCTTTTGAAAGAAGAAAATGAGAGATTGTCTGTTGCTGCTTCTTCTGCTACTACTGGCAATGGCTCTAGTGAAGAAGACAAGCAAAAGTTACAAACTTTGCAAACCAGGTTTGATAACTTGTTGAACGAATCCCAAACCAAGTTGAAATTGGCTAGAAACAAAGAGAGAGAATTCCTGAAGGTAGTCGAGCAATTGAGAGGTGATGTTGCCAAAATCACTGGAGACTTTGAACAAGCCAAGAAGGATCATGAAGAAGTAATCGCCAAACTCGCTCAAACCAGTAATGGGAACAATGCCGAGACTGAGAAGGTGAAGCAAGAATTCCAGGAGGCTGCCAATGCCGAACTTGAGAAGGTCGAAAAGCGGTTTGAAGATGAGAAGAACAAATTGGTTGCTGAGTATGAAGCAAAGTTGGAAAGTGCCAATAGTTCCAAAGACCTTCAAGCCGAATGGAAGTCCAAGATCGAGGAGTTGGAACAAAAACTTGAATCCACCGAGTCGAGCTTGAAAGCAGAATATGCTAGTAAGCTTGAAGAAGAAGTAGGCAAGCAGGTGGATCAGAGAGTAGAAACCAGCAAGGGTTCGGATGTAAATGAAGCCAAGATCCGTGAAGATGCTGCAAAAGAATACGAAAGTAAGGTGGTCACCTTAAAAGAAGAATTTGCTCAACAGTTGGAAAAAGAGAAAATGGATGTTCGGGCTCTGACAGAGAAGAAGTTTGAAATCAAGCTCAGGATGTTGAACAAGAAGCTCGAACGGTTGGAAAAGTCGAGTGATGCTCCAACATCGAACACTCCAGCAAAACCTGCTTTAGGCCCTCAATTCACTGAATCTACCTTGAGTGTTCATCAACCAGAAGCCAACGGTAATGAAAAGAAGAGAGGATTCACTCCTGATCCTCAGGCCACACAAACCAATAAAAAACCAAAAGAATAATTGTATAGTTAGTCATGTGCATTATAAGACTTACAAGTCTCAAATATAAAGTTTAATATCTGTTTAAAGTGAATTTTGCAACTCTTCGATAATACCAAATTACCGATAAAAGAAACCTCTCAAATCTCCTGACATACACCTCTTTTATTTCTCCTTTCCCAGTATCAACCCTATATCTCCCTTGTTCCCAAACCTTTCCAACATTTAAAATTCTTTTAAGTACTTACTCAGACCAGAAATGGTACTGCACGCTCCGCACTCTTGATAAAATTTTATCTCATCAAACCTACCTCAAAAACCACTTAAAGCCATGGGAGTGCCAGCATTCTTCAGATGGCTTTCCAGAAAGTATCCGAAAATCATATCACCGGTCATTGAAGATGATACGACGTTAGAGATCGGTGCTGCACAATACCTGAACCCAAATCCAAATGGTGAAGTGGACAACTTGTACCTCGATATGAACGGTATTGTTCATCCATGTTCACATCCCGAGCACAAACCACCCCCAGAAACTGAAGATGAGATGTTTTTGGATATCTTCAAGTACACAGATAGAGTGTTGATGATGGCTAGACCGAGAAAAGTGTTGATGATAGCAGTGGATGGTGTAGCACCCAGAGCCAAGATGAATCAACAGAGAGCCAGAAGATTTAGGTCAGCTAAAGATGCCCAAATTGCGGCCGAGGAAAGAGAGAGAGATTTGCACGAGAGAGAGCAACGGGGGGAAATTATTGATGAAGCAATCAAGGGAAAGAAGTCTTGGGATAGCAACTCCATTACTCCTGGTACACCATTTATGAGTAGATTGGCATTAGCGTTACGGTATTGGGTGGCATACAAATTGGCCAATGACCCCGGCTGGGCCAATTTGCAAGTTATAATATCGGACGCTTCGGTCCCTGGTGAAGGAGAACATAAGTTGATGAACTTCATTCGACTGCAAAGACTGGATCCGTCTTATGATCCAAACACCAAACACTGTATCTATGGGTTGGATGCCGATTTGATTTTCTTGGGGTTGGCAACTCATGAACCACATTTTCGGGTGTTGAGAGAAGACGTTTATGCCAATCAATCAAAGAGGTTAAATGTATCTGACCAGATCAATATGACGGCCGAGGACAAACAGAGATTGGCTGATAATGATGCTAAGAAGCCTTTCTTATGGCTTCATATCAACGTGTTAAGAGAGTATTTAGCCGCCGAACTCTACAACCCCAGACTTAGTTTCCCGTTTGACGTGGAAAGAGCTATCGATGACTGGATATTCATGTGTTTCTTTGTGGGTAATGATTTCTTACCACATTTACCATGTTTGGATGTAAGAGATAATGGTATTGAGGTTCTTGTGGACTGCTGGAAGAAGTTATTACCTTCTATGAAAGATTATATTAGTTGTGACGGAAACTTAAACTTGAAACTGGTAGGGTTGTTGATGAAGCAGATGAGCTCGAAAGAAGATGATATCTTTAGAAAGAGACATGAACAAGAAAAGAGACGAGAGGAGAATTTCAAAAGACGAAAGGTTTGGGACGAGGAAGATAAGAAGTTGAGAAACCAATATTTGCCAACCGTTACTAAGGGAAAGGATAAAGCACCCATTGAAGCCGATGTGAATATGCCCTTAATGACTACTTCTGGTGAAATTGTCGATGGCCATGCAAAGCTATCGAATAGTGATATCGTCAACAACTTGACAACCATCAACCAGGCTAACATGGCTAATGCAAGTGCAGCCGCCAGATTGAAACAGTTGATCGAGCAAAAGAACTCACCTCAAGTTTCCTCTGATGATGATTCTAAAAAAAGAGCCATACGTGACGTTGATTCTCCCACTGCTACCGAAGAAGAAGACAGTGAACCAGTGGTGATCAATAAGCCATCGGAAACAAAATCTGATGCTGATGATTCTGGTGACAATGTGAGAATGTGGGAGGCTGGTTACCATAAGCGGTACTACCAGACCAAATTCGGATTGAAAACTGACGAAGAAGTAAATGAAAGACGTAAGTCTTTGGCTTTCCATTACCTAGAGGGAATATCTTGGGCTTTGTTGTATTATTATCAAGGATGTCCTTCTTGGCAATGGTATTATCCCTATCACTATGCTCCGTTTGCTAAGGACTTCGATGATATCGAAGGACTCATCAATGAGGGTATCAGATTCAAAGTTGGAAAGCCATTTAGGCCATATGAACAATTGATGTCTGTGATGCCTGCGGCTTCTAGTCATACTTTACCAGATGGATTTGAACCATTGATGAAGGACAGTGATTCTCCAATCATTGATTTCTATCCCGAAAGTTTCCAAATTGATATGAATGGAGCTAAAATGGCATGGCAAGGTATTCCATTATTACCTTTTATCGATGAAAAGAGGCTCTTGGAAGCGGTTGGGAAAGTTTACTTGACCTTGACTGACGAAGAGGTGGATAGAAACACCTTGAAACAAGAGGAGTTGTTCATATCGTGCCAAAATAAGAATTACCAGGAGTTCAAGAAGGTTTATGAAACTGACGATGACAATCTTGAAATCAAGCTCAACCATACTGCCAGCGGTTTGTCTGGTAGAGTTTGGGCTGCTAATTCTTATAACCCGAACGAGCCCATGAGGAATCCCGTGAATGAAGGAGATATGCCCGATATTGACTCTGCTGAGTATCTTTCGATAAGCTATGCGATGCCTTTAAAGACGAAGGGTAAGTCTATGCTTTTGAACGGGTTTATCTACCCTGCGCAAGCGTTGAGGCAATCGGATATAGACCAGCTTTTGTATGGAAGAGGAGGTGGTAGGTTCCGTAGTCCCAACGACAACCGGGACTATGTGAACAATGGACCTGAGGCAAACGGGAAGAAGAGGTATATGATGTTCAAAAGTAGAAAAGGGGGTTATAGAGCTACAATTGAGGGTTTTAAGAGTGAAGGCCAGAGCCATTATACCGGGCAGAATAGCGGATACGGACAAAATGTACAAGGTTATGGTAATCGTGGGTATAATAACTATAATCAAAATGGTGGGTACAATAATAACAACCAGAATAATGGGTATAATAACTATAACCAGAATAACGGGTACAATAACTATAACCAGAATAATGGGTACAATAACTACAACCAGAACTACAACCAGAACCATAACCAGAACCATAACCAAAGCTACAACCAGAACTATAACAACAATCGCAATTACAACAACCAGAGCAGAGGATATAACTCCAATTCTGGCTATAACTCCAACTCTGGCTATAACTCCAACTCCGGCTACAACTCCAACTCAGGCAGCAACCGCGAGAGAAACGGATACAGGCGATAAGCTCTTACAATAAATGCACCACAGTAAACGCACCACAGTAAACTCTGACTCGGATCCCTAAGCGAGGCCGCGCGTAACTTTTACCTGCGATATGGAGGCCCCGTTATTCTATGATAAGGTCTTGGGCCAACAATGGGTGGCTGTCAAGGACGACAACGGTTACAGCATCAAGAAAACCAAGATATCTATACCCCTGTCTGTTTCTGAGCCGCCGCAGCTCGAAAACCTAACTATTATTGATTCTGTCAAATCTGGCACTGGCCGCGATGGCAAAGCCAGTATATACCACCACATCATTAAACCAACCCTTGATCACCTCAAGGTACCCCACAATTACGTTGTTACCACCAGTGGCGACACAATAGGTGCTTTTTCTCGGCAATTGACACAAGGAACACACAAGATTGTGCTCATTTCTGGAGATACGTCGGTAAACGAGCTTATCAATAGTCTTTCATCGGATCAACATGGCCAAATCAGACTTGTGGTCATCCCACTAGGTACGGGAAATAGTCTTTCGCTTGCTCTTGGAATATCGAACGAGTTGGAAGCGGTGAAGCGGTTGGTGACATCCAATGAGTTCAAACCACTTAACCTCTATACCATTAAATTTCCCGAGGATCCCTCTTATGTTCTCCACGAAGGCACTCAGGTGCGTCCAGCCCCATCCGAAATGAAGTTCTTGGTGGTGTTCTCATGGGGATTCCATGCGTCCCTCGTGGCGGACAGTGATACTGCTGAGATGAGAAAGTTTGGTCTTGAGCGGTTTAAAATGGCTGCCATGAGTAATTTAGAAGCTCCACAGCACTACGAGGGCACCACAAAAATCAGTTCAGATAAAGACACTCGGGAAGTGGCTGGTCCATATGCGTACTGGGTGTTGACGCCTTCCCGGCGGTTTGAGCCTACGTTTGAAATATCTCCACTGGGGAACATTTTCAACGACGAGATGTATTTGGTCAGCTTTGGACCCAGAGACACCGACCAAACGCCGTACATCATGGAAATCATGACCCAAGCATACAATGGTGGAGCGCATATTCACAATGGGTCTGTGAGTTATGAACAAGTTGATTCCACCCATCAGGTGCGTCTTAAATACCACCAGGACCAAGAAAACCGCCGTCGGTTCTGTGTCGACGGAGCGGTTATTCTTGCACCCCCAAGCGGAGAATTTAGGGTTCGGGCGTGTGGCCACAAGCAGCAAAAGTGGGAAATCTTCGTGTTGGGGTAATGGTGTTGGGCGTAAGAGAACAAATCTCCGGGATTAATAGTGGGGGTGGGGGTGGGGGTTGCCTGTACGGCTGGTGTGTGGGCCAGGACATCTTCAGCCAAGTATAAGATAAGCGTTGATAGACGCAGACACTGGTATAATACGATGTATAGCTTCGATATCTATTATATGACAAATAAGGTAGGCATGGGTGACAAACAGCCAATTGTAAGCGTCGGAAATCATCAAACCACTAACAAGGATTTGCTTCGAAATTTTCTTGTCATTGCAAAATGTTCCCGGACTTTTTATTCTTTGAGTGGGGAACAATACAATTTGGTAAATCCTGGATTACATAAAGGAAAATGTGGTTATATCGCGGAGATTTGAGAGTGCTGCAGAAAATAAAAAATGCCTAGAAATATTCATAATGCTGTTTTCTTGGAATTACAACCCACTCAAGAGGATATTTCCGTGCCCATCAGGGCCATTTCATTCCCCACATTAATGCTTCCGCTCCGATGGTCCTAAATGTGGTATCAGACCTCCGGGTTGGAAGTATATAAAGGCTGCAACCGCCAGAACTTTTGGGAGACTCTAGAAATTGCCATGTCTGAAATCACTCCAACGACCAAGTCCGACGCCAAGGCCGTTCAAACGACAGAAATTTACGTTGAAGAAGCTCCGAGATTTAAATGGAGAGTAGTTGATACCCATTCTCCTAAAGAGATCTATAACTGGAGATTATACCTTTGTATTGCCGTATTTGGTTTATGCGGTAGTATGAGAGGGTTGGATGAAGGTAATACTGCTTCCACCACATTACCTTCATTCCAAGCCAAATTCGGTTTGGATGACCCCTCTTTATCAGAACATGCCTATGCTGCGTTGGTATCAAATATCAAATCCATGGTGCAGTTGGGCTCGATTTTGGGTTCGATGATTTCCAGTTACTCGGTCGACAAATTGGGCCGGGTCAAATCTCTTCAGCTTGTGTGTTTTTTCATGATAATTGCTACCATTATTCAGATGACGTCCAAGAACGTTGGTCAGTTATACGCCGGGAGATTCTTGGAAGGTGCTCTTGCGGTGGGGTTGACGGTGGCTATTGGTCCTTCTTATATGTCTGAAGTGACTCCCAAAGCCATCAGAGGAATGGCTGGGTGTATGTTTGCTGGAGCCGTTTACCTTGGAATCATGCTCAGTTACTTTGCTATCTACGGCTGTGTATTGAATCTTCCAGACGACAGTAACCTTCAGTGGATCACTCCATTGTGTGTGAAGATCATTATTCCTGGTCTCATTTTGATTGGGTCCTTCTTCGCGATTGAGTCACCTAGATGGTTGATCAAAGTGGGAAGAAATGAAGAGGGCTTAAAGGCTTTGGCTCGTTTAAGAAACTTGTCTGAAAGCCACCCATTTGTCATTGGTGAAATCACAGATATTACCGAGTCCGTGCAACAGGAGTTGGAAGCGAAACGTAATAATAACTTTTTTGGGTTGTTTGCACAATTGGTGAGAGTCAAATCGTTAAGGTACCGGTTTTTCGGTTTGGGATGTATGGTACAGCTTTTAGGACAATGGTCTGGTGCCAACTCCATCACTATCTATGCTTCAGAATTATTTGAATTCAGTGGTATCAAGGGTAATGATCAGTTGAAGATGACGGCAATTTTGGGGGTGGTCAAGTTCTGTTCCGCTTATATTGGAGCATTTTTTATCATTGACTTCTTAGGAAGAAGAAAAGCCATGTACATGGGTATTACCATTCAGTTACTTGCTGTGTTATACTTTGCATTGTTTTTGCTTATTGTACCTGATGCTGCCCATGAAGATACGGTATTAACTACTGCTCAGTATCGGGCTTCACAGGGGGCCATGGCTGCTTTGTACATGGGAGGAGTTGGCTGGACCATAGGATTCAATTCTTTACAGTACTTGATTGGATCCGAGATCTTCCCCTTGAGTACTAGAACCTTTGCTCAGTCTTTAATCATGGTATTACATTTTGCCAATCAATATGGTAACTCAAAAGCAGTTGCGAAAATGTTGTTGACTTTGCAGCCATATGGAACTTTTTTCTTTTTTGTGGCCATTAACGCCATCTCTTTGATATGGGCATGGTTCTTCATTCCTGAGATTAGTGGAAGGTCCTTGGAAAGTATGGAAGAATTGTTCAGCTTACCTTGGTACGTGATTGGAAGAAGAGGTGCCAAGTTGTGCCCTGACCACTCTGAGATTAATAAGATGGACTACTCTCGAGGAACCTTGAGGTACCTTGATGACGAAAAGCCCAGTGAGGAGTTCATCGAAAACGATGACCACCGTGAATCCGAAGAAAAAGATAGGGATGAGGATTAGTTTATAAGTTTAAGATTATGTTATTTCTATTATTTGCAACTGTTAGGTATAGATTAATTACTGTCGAATTCCAATTCGTTATCAAGAATCTTTTCAGATTCCTTTTCAGATTCCTTGTCACCAGTGTTGTCCTTATTGGTAATCACGGGAGGAACGTCTTCGGGGTTAGAAGAGTTGTAGAGGTAGATACCATTGTCCAACGCGTGTTTGCGTTCTTCCCGCTTGTAGAACCAAAGCACCACAAACGTCCACAAACACAAGGCACCCCCAGAACAGGCAGTGAAAGTGAAACCCTTGAAATAACGAGGAGCCTCGACCGTTTTCCACACAATCACCGCCATGAAAGCGGTGGTGGTTTGGGCAAACGCATTCATAAGAACCAAGATAGTCGACCGCTTTTGTTGATCACGACGGCAAATATCGTTTTGCCACGAGTACAACACCGGAGCCATAGCCCAACCAAAGTACTGTAAACACCAAGCAAACCATTTGGCTTTTTCTGGCACGTCCCATGCGGCCAAAATGGCATTTCCAGTGATATTAAATACCTGCGAAAAGAGAATGGCTCCCCATCTCAGGTGAAAGAAATCGGCAAACGAACACACGATGGTCAACCACACGATTCCCAATCCTGGAGTCAAGGCTGTACGATCCTGTAAAGCACCGCCAGTAAAACGAGCGGCGGGGGTTCCGTCAGCATTCTTTTCAGTAGAAGATAACAAAGACTTCAACCACAAAACATAAGCACCCGAAGAACCATTAGAGTTGTTCCAGCAGAAAATGTTCCACCACGACAACACATATATTTCCCAAGAGGTGAAGATGGACTTCCACAATTTGAAGTCCAAAACCTTTTTGAACGAATAGTCATCTTCTTTGCTGCCAATGTTGTTACGTTCCAAACGACGACGAGCAAGTCTGATTTCGTCATCTGTCAACCAGATGGAGTAGCAACTCTTTGGGGTACCGGGAATACTGTAAATACCAATGAAACCAACTCCCAACGAAATGAGCCCATCGATGATGAAAATCCATTGCCACGAGTGTAAGCCGTTAGTTCCATCAAGAGAACGTACAATGGCACCAGACAACAAACCCGAAGTTAAGACCCCGAGATACTGTCCAAAGTAGAACACCATGGCTCTTCTGCTGATTTCATCAACAGTGAACCATGAACCCAATAAAAAGTGGTAAGAATAGTAAGCCTGAGACTCAAAAGCACCAATCAAAAACCGCAAAGCCTTTAAGGTAGGCACGTTTGTGGTTCTGTATAAGCAGATAGTCACAATCGACCACAATCCATCGAAAGCAGGTAACAAGTAGTTTAAGGGAGCAGCATTCAACAAGTAGATAAATGGGATTTGAAACACAATGTTACCAACGTTGAACATGACTTGAGTGTTGACCAAATCGTTTCCCTTCATGCCTATATCGAGGGGCATGGACGTGACATAGGCGTTGTTCAAGTTGGTCTGATCCAAATATTTAACCCAGTAGGCCATTAACGAGTACAAGGTCAAGATTACATCCAACTTGAGAATCAACTTCCTTTCGGCTGGGGTGTCATCTTCGTGGAACCATTTGTACCACTTGTGACGAGATCTGGTTTGTTTATTGGACCGGTATTCATACTCGTCAAAGTACTTGTACCATTTTCTGCCCTTCTCATCTCTGTATTCAATGGTCGGTTCCGGCACGGTTTCAACCGTGGTTGCAATATCGACTTTATCATGGGGAAGATCTTCCACCACCCGAAGCTGGGGAAGAAACCCATATTTCAATCTAGACAATGGTCCGGTGATAAAACTCATGTTAAGAAATTGTTTAACAATCTGTTCTTGGATAATTGCATGGCTTTATATATTAGCAGCTGTGAAGCAATGCTGCAAGATTTAAAAATGCGATGCGATACGTTTTTTCACGTGATAGACTTTATTGCATTTACGCATAAATGCAAGATACAAGTACGGTGAGTTCTGACCCATACACCCCTACCGTCAACGCCGTACTAGATTTGAAATCCCAATCTTGGCCCACATCGGTAACTGTAAATCGTTTCATGCTCAGGCGGAATCGGTCGCGGATCCCGGCCACACTTGGGCCACAATTTTTTTTAAAGCCACAAGAGCTCTTATTTGAGGGATTTAGCAGATGAGAAGCCCTTTAGTGGGGGTGGGGTTGTGCCCCAAGTACTGACCGTTGTGAACAGACACCAATCTTAAGATTTCACTCAAAAAAAACACTTGGCGGAAAATCCCGACCCGGTGAGGCGACTGGATGCGGCGAGGCCGTTATTGGCGGGGCCGCTGACGGAAGAATGGCACGAGATTTACCGATACTTTATGCCGAGTGTATTAACCGGTTGCGCGAATCTTTCGCAGCCAGAAGTTCTGACCCAGACACCCACTGAAGACGCCTCCAAACACAAATACATTAACTATACATTGTAAACAGATATCACAAGTTTCTTGGATCGCTTAGATCAAAGCAGCAGCAACGGCAGCAATACCAGCGAAGGCACCAGCAGCAAGCTTGTTGGCAGCACCTTCGTAAGAAGCAACGGTGACTGGAGTCGAAGTAGCCTCAACCGTAGTTGGGGCTGGAGGAGTCACAGTTGAAGTGACGTACTGGGTTGTGTACGAAGTTGGAATGATACATTCTCCAGTAACCGTCAAGGTGGTGGCCTCGGTCACAGTGATGGTGGTAGGAGCACAAACCTCATTACAGGTGGTGATGGTCACCACGGTGGAGTATGGGCAGTAAGTAGTATAGTCAGTAACGGTGATGTCAGTGGTGACAACGGTATCGTTAGAGGCGGCGACTGTGGCGGCGACCAACGCAGAGAGAGCGGCAATTTGTTTGAACATTATTAAAGCGAGTGGATGGATGGAATCAAAACAACTGGATTTGCTGCCAATTTATAGGGACCTGGTGTGAGCGCGCGGGCACAATTGTAAACAACAACATTAACGAATGATTTGGCGGGGGTTCGAGAGAAGCGGGACGGGTACCTTGACCGACAGAGAATCCTCCGCCCACCGCTATAATAGGGGCGCCAGAGGGGGATTGTGTATACAGGTACGATATTTATACACAGATACGGTCTATACACAAATACGGGTATGTACACAAATGCGTTTGTGGACCTATCTACCCAATAAGCCCTTACACCGAAAGCACAAGCGGAAGCGAGAGGAGGTTGGTGCATAAAGGATATAAAATATACAAGAAGAAATTCAACGTGGGGACGCATGCTTTAGGCATGGGCTTATCCCAAATAAGCCCGCGATGGTGGCTTTGTTTACATTCAGTATTTGGGATGCACGTTCGCAACCATTTAGTATGTGTGATACCAAGAACAACAACACGATTGGCCTCGCTGCCCCACACTGCAATGGGCCCTGCCAGATTCCGGGGGCCGCTTTGCTCTTTCACTTTTGCTTTAGTCAATATACCAAAAGGTCACGTGAGCCGCTTGCGAGGTCAGGTGCGGGTCGCTCACGTGAACAACAAGCTCGCGTTTTACCACTCATGCTTCCACTCACCGGTAAGTGCTTCTGTTGTACCGCCATCAGCAGCGAGGCCCGTGACACCGTCGAGCGCCAGGTGGTCGAGCTCGGCGGAACGTACACACTTGATCTCATGCTGCACACCACGCATCTCGTGGTGGGCGACACCCGTACTGCCAAGTACCGCTACTGTGTGCGCCACCGCGACGACGTGAAGATTCTTCAGCCAACTGCTATTGGCCAGTTCTACGAGGCATGGCGACGTGGGCGTGGTGACACTACCACTATCGTGCCCGCGGCCTCCCCGCTGCTCGACTCGTTCGTTCTCCCAACGTTCTACGGCCTCGCTATTTGTGTGGGGCATTTCCGCTCCGATAGCATCTACGATCTCAACGGTGACAACACCTCGCCGGCCGCCGTACGGGCGCTTATCGAGCGTCATGGTGGTACTGCCACCGACCTGCTTACAAATGCACATGCCATGCTCCTCTCGAATATTCCTACTGGGAAGAGGTACACCAAGGCAGTGGAATGGCGTCTTCCCGTTGTACACCCGTTGTACGTCCTCGACAGCTTACGGCGAGGTGCCTCGCTCGATCCTGATGACTATGCCTACGACCACTACCCGGAGATCCCCCGAAATTCGGATGCCCCCACCTCTGGTGGTGACCCTCCTTCAATGGCGGTACTGGCAGCAGCTGCCGTCGCGCGCACGGACCTGGCCCCGGCCAAAATCAGAAAGAACCTTGACGTATGGAACTCTCTCGTGCACAGGGAGCACACTACCACCTCTGGTGGTAGTCACAGTACCACCACAGATGCAATGAGTAACTGGCTTCTTCCAAGTTCTGAAATTGGAACTAAACGTACAAAGACAACGGATACTACTGACTCCATTTTCCAGGGGATAACCTTCCACCTATCGTCTTTCACGGTGGCACAGACGGTCATCCTCTCCCGCGTAATTGTTCAGCATGGTGGTAGTACCAGCGGCGACGCCGACTACGTGCTCGTGCCGTTTGGTACAAATTTGCGACCAATGTCGCTGACATCACCCGTCCGCACCGAGTGGCTCGTGGAGCGTTCCATCTACTACGGGCGGCTCACCGATGACGCCTGGTCCCACCAGCTCGCGGACCATACTGTTTCCGGCGCCGTATCATCAGCGTCAGCCAGTCTCTCTGGATTCAAGGGCATAGAACACCTCCATCTCACAAAACTATGTCGGCATTTGGGAATGGAAGTCTCGGATTCTTTTAACGCAAATATCGACATGCTCGTGGTCAACATCAACATCTTCAAGCAACGACTACCCGAGCTGTTGTTCGAACGGCCAGAGCTAGTTGAATGTGCCTACAATTCTATCAGCCGCGTATCCACCAAGAATAAGATCGTGGCTGCGAAAAAATGGAAGATACCGGTTGTGTCACCATGGTATTTATTTGAACTTGCAAACGACTCAGATCCTTCCATCAAGGACTTAAAGTGGTGTTTGTACTATCTGAAAAAGCAGGAACCTGACTCGGGTTCAGACCTGTTGCGACTCCCGTCCCCCAAGAAGATCCGACGTCGGTTCGGGAAATTGGTGACAAATTCGAAGGAGCTTGAGTTGCAGACGAGTAAAACTCACGAAGACTCTAACGATGAAGACGAGGTGCGCATTGGATATGATAGCAAACGACAGAAGAAATAGTTTGCTTTTCTTATCTGCTCGGTGAATGAGTCATGGCAATTTAATTTAACCCCCCCCCCCAAACTTGCCGCATAATCCCTCAACCATAACTCTATATATTAGCATTTAATAAACATGACCAATACACCTGATACACTTGAGAAATCAACGTTTTTGTGTGTCTTCTTTGGTCATATTTCATACTCGCTCGCCGATTCTCTACAGTAATCCCCACAAACCCACACAAAAAAAAGAACAACAAGCTCTGCTCCAAGTCCTTCCTACTTCTTCGGAAATCATGACTCATAGGTCAGGCAGTTCTTGATCAGTAGTCCCCATCAAGAACCTTCTGGAATATTCAAGGTAAATCCGGGGTAGCAGTCACATTAGAAGCAAAATTGTACCAAGCGTACCACGACCACTACCACCACCTGGCGCCAAGCCCACCTCTATGGTTAATAGGGCTCGCGCCCTCATTGCCTCCCCTCGTGCGCACACCAGCTTCGTCCCCCAGCGAAAAAAATTTAAAAGTCCGTGATTTCGCCAATTTTTTTTCTTCCTACTACATCTTTCAAATTATTTAAAATGGGTAAGGGAAAAACTCACGTTAACGTTGTTGTTATTGGTCACGTCGACTCTGGTAAGTCCACCACCACCGGACACTTGATCTACAAGTGTGGTGGTATCGACAAGAGAACCATTGAAAAGTTCGAAAAGGAAGCCGCTGAATTAGGTAAGGGTTCTTTCAAGTACGCTTGGGTTTTGGACAAGTTGAAGGCTGAAAGAGAAAGAGGTATCACCATCGATATCGCTTTGTGGAAGTTTGAAACTCCAAAGTACCACGTTACTGTCATTGACGCTCCAGGTCACAGAGATTTCATCAAGAACATGATCACTGGTACTTCCCAAGCTGATTGTGCTATTTTGATTATTGCTGGTGGTGTCGGTGAATTCGAAGCCGGTATCTCCAAGGATGGTCAAACCAGAGAACACGCTTTGTTGGCTTACACCTTGGGTGTCCAACAATTGATTGTTGCTATCAACAAGATGGACTCTGTTAAGTGGGACAAGAACAGATTCGAAGAAATCGTCAAGGAAACCACCAACTTCGTCAAGAAGGTTGGTTACAACCCTAAGTCTGTTCCTTTCGTTCCAATTTCTGGATGGAACGGTGACAACATGATCGAACCATCTCCAAACTGTCCATGGTACAAGGGTTGGGAAAAGGAAACCAAGGCTGGTAAGTCCTCTGGTAAGACTTTGTTGGAAGCTATTGACGCTATCGACCCACCTTCCAGACCAACCGACAAGGCTTTGAGATTGCCATTGCAAGATGTCTACAAGATTGGTGGTATTGGAACTGTGCCAGTCGGTAGAGTTGAAACCGGTATTATCAAGGCCGGTATGATTGTTACCTTTGCCCCAGCTGGTGTCACCACCGAAGTCAAGTCCGTGGAAATGCACCACGAATTGTTGGACGAAGGTGTTCCAGGTGACAATGTTGGATTCAACGTCAAGAACGTTTCCGTCAAGGAAATCAGAAGAGGTAACGTGTGTGGTGACTCCAAGAACGACCCACCAAAGGGATGTGACTCTTTCGATGCTCAAGTCATCGTCTTGAACCACCCTGGTCAAATCTCTTCCGGTTACTCTCCAGTTTTGGATTGTCACACTGCTCACATTGCTTGTAAGTTTGACACCTTGTTGAAGAAGATTGACAGAAGAACTGGTAAGGTTTTGGAAGAAAACCCTAAGTTCATCAAGTCTGGTGACGCCGCTATGGTTAAGATGGTTCCATCTAAGCCAATGTGTGTTGAAGCTTTCACCGAATACCCACCATTGGGAAGATTCGCTGTCAGAGACATGAGACAAACCGTTGCTGTTGGTGTCATCAAGGCCGTCGAAAAGTCCGACAAGGCTGGTAAGGTCACCAAGGCTGCTCAAAAGGCTGCTAAGAAGTAAATTATATAGTTTTGAATGCTTATAGTTGTTTGAATGATGTAGTAGACCGTCTCTCAAAACGCATTAATGTCGTGTCTGGCCACCAGTGTTAGCCTCTAACTAGAATTGGGTTCAACTTGACCAATTTGACTTCAAAACTCCCCAGATTTCACCCACTTTATCTTCCTACTATTTCTAATGTAGCCTACTTATTGAGACTTTGCTCACATCCCTTATTTTCAAGAAATCACTATTGTTGCAATATCGTCGCTTATCTTATCGTTTGACACAAAGCCGCGTCCGATTGCCGGCAAGGCGGCTGCAAATTGAAACTGGTTAGAAGGGATCCACACGTCCTCCAAATCAAAATCGGCCAGTTTTTGGCTATCCTACAGGCTTCCACAAACCAGTCATCGCTTCTCCAAGGCAAAATATAGCTCCCATTAGGCCGTGTTATACTCGGGATATTATTTGACTCGGGTCTAACTCTGGTCTGACTCCTGCGCGCGCCCTTATAAATATCTGCAAACATTCCACATGTTTTTTTGCAGATATTTATTCACTTGCTTTTATACATCACATTCCAAATGTTCAGAGGCAGTGTAAGACTTGCGATCAATCGGGCTACCATTGCTCGTGCCGTGTGCTCCCGCCCTTCAGCGGTGGCAGGTACCCGTTTTTTCGCCTCATCTCGCGCGTATGAAGCGGCAGCAAATGCTTCCACTAAGGTAGCTAACACGTCCTCAGACAATTATGCCACTGTCTACGTGCCTAAGGCCGGTCTTGACCCTCTAGACACATTTGCTCGTCGTCACATAGGCCCAACCCCCGAAAATGTGGCCCAGATGTTGAAGGAAATGGGATATAGCGATCTCGATGAGTTTCTCTCTCAGGCCATTCCTCCTCACGTGCTTCTCAAGCGTAAACTCCAGGTATCTCCAGCTAAGGGCTTCACGGAGCTGGAAATGTTGGACCATTTACATGAGCTTGCCGGCAAGAACAAGATCGTTCGGTCTTTTATTGGTAAAGGTTACGCTGGTACTCACGTTCCGCCAGTGATCCAACGAAACTTGTTGGAATCACCCGAATGGTACACCTCCTACACGCCATACCAACCAGAAATCAGTCAGGGCCGTTTAGAGAGTTTGTTGAACTACCAGACCATGATCACTTCGCTCACAGGTTTGGATATCGCCAATGCCTCTCTTTTGGACGAAGGTACTGCTGCCGGTGAGGCCATGGCCTTGTCCTTCCACAGTTTACGTGGTAAGCGTACTCAGTACGTGGTGGATATCAATTTGCATCCACAAACAAAAGAGGTGATTCGGTCGCGTGCTGGTAATATCGGAGTGGAGATTCTTGAACTTAATCTCGCTTCCGAGGAAGGTGTTGCTGAACTTGAAACCATTGCCAGCAAGGTTTGTGGGGCCCTTGTGCAATATCCTGCCACCGACGGGTCTATCAATGACTACTCTCGGATTGGTGATATAGTCCATGCTCAAAAGGGGTTGTTTGCAGTGGCTACTGACTTGTTGGCCTTGACATTACTCAAACCACCTTCGAGCTTTGGGGCTGATATTGCCTTGGGAAACTCCCAACGGTTCGGGGTTCCCTTTGGCTACGGAGGTCCTCATGCGGCATTCTTCTCCACTACTAATAAATATTCTCGTAAGATCCCGGGACGAATCATTGGTGTTTCGAAGGATCGGTTGGGAAACAAGGCCTTACGGTTGGCTTTACAAACACGTGAGCAACATATCAAGCGTGAAAAGGCCACTTCCAACATCTGTACGGCTCAAGCTTTGTTGGCCAATATGGCTGCTATGTATGCGGTTTATCATGGACCTGATGGGCTTCGTCGGATTGCTGGCCGGGTCTACGGTTACACCAAGATTTTGTCACAAAACCTTGGGGCCCATACGCTCGAAAACACCAGCTTTTTTGATACTTTAACCATCAAACTTGAAGGTACTACTGCCGATGAAGTACTTGCATTGGCCTTGAACCAATACGGAATCAACTTATTCAAGGTGAATGATTTGACGGTTTCGGTCACTTTGGACGAAACTGTCACCAGAGAAGACTTGGGTGCATTGGTCCAAATCTTTGGTGGTGACGCGGGTGTGAGTACTTTGGAAGAACTCCCTGAATTCCCTCAACAATGGACTCGTACCGACGAGATCTTGACTCATCCTGTGTTCAACACGCACCATTCAGAAACTGCCATGTTGAGGTACTTGCACTTGTTACAATCCAAAGACTTATCATTGGCTAACTCAATGATTCCTTTGGGTTCTTGTACCATGAAGTTGAATGCCACGGTGGAAATGTCCACTTTGTCGATGCCAGGATTCACTGCTCTTCACCCATTTGCTCCGGCTGACCAGGCTGAAGGTTACCGTGAACTTGTGGCTGAATTTGAAAAAGATTTGAATGATATCACTGGATTTGATGCTACCACTTTGATGCCAAACTCGGGTGCTCAAGGTGAATATACTGGTTTACTGTTGATCAGACAATATCACCAGTCCCGTGGTGACCATGAATCGCGAAACATATGTCTTATCCCTGTGTCGGCGCACGGTACCAACCCAGCTTCTGCTGCTATGTGTGGATTAAAAGTTGTTCCAGTCAAGTGTTTGGAAAATGGTTCAATTGACCTTGAAGACTTGAAACAAAAGGCTGAATTACACAGCCAAAACTTATGCTCGATCATGATCACGTATCCTTCAACGTATGGTTTGTTTGAACCTGGTATCAAATCGGCCATCGACATTGTCCATGAAAATGGGGGGTTGGTGTACCTTGATGGAGCCAACATGAATGCACAAGTGGGATTGACTTCTCCTGGAGATTTGGGAGCGGATGTATGTCACTTGAACATCCACAAAACCTTTGCTTTGAGTCACGGTGGTGGTGGTCCTGGTCAAGCTCCGGTATGTGTCAAGGAACACTTGAAGCCCTTTTTACCTCATCACACACTTGTTTCTACTCCTCATGCCACTTCTGAATCCATTAAAGCTGTTAATTCTGCGCCATTTGGATCTGCGGCTGTTCTTCCAGTGTCATACGCTTATATTAAGATGTTGGGAGCCAACCTGTTGCCATACACCTCTGCCATCGCCATGTTAAATGCCAATTACATGATGAAAAAATTACAGGCCCACTACAAGATTCTTTTCATGGATTTTGCAGCCATTAAGCACTGTGCACATGAATTCATTTTGGACTTACGTGAGTTCAAAACCTTCGGAGTCGAAGCCATCGACGTGGCTAAGAGATTACAAGATTATGGATTCCATGCCCCAACCATGTCTTTCCCGGTGGCTGGTACTTTAATGATTGAGCCTACTGAATCTGAAAATCTCGAGGAAATCGACCGGTTTATAGACTCATTGGTGGCTATCCGGGGCGAAATCAAAGCCTACGAAAATGGGGATCCTCTTGGCCAAGTGTTGAAGAATGCTCCTCATTCATTGGCCGATGTGGTTTCAACTCCACAAGAAGATTGGGCCTCTAGAGGATACACTCGTGAGCAGGCTGCATACCCACTTCCATTTTTGAAGCAAGCTAAATGCTGGCCCACCGTGGCTCGTGTGGATGATGCATACGGGGACATAAACTTGATGTGTACGTGTCCATCTGTTGAGGAGGTTGCCGAGTCGTCTTAAACGGCATACACATATATTGTATAGAAAATATTATAATAGACGAAGCGATTCCTGACAAATTGACGCTCGCATTTCGGGTCGCAATCTCAACAATAGAATTGCCAAACATCTCTAACGAGACAATCCACTTTTATTATCATGAATCTCGGCTACACGCCCCCGACTCCTCTCGGATATACGCCCCAAACTCCTCTAGGTGGCACTAGTCCTGTCTCTAGTCCTGCCAGCTCAGCGCCTCCCATAAGTGCCATCCCCACATCGTTTTCTCACGCTCATGCTCCCGCTCCACCTTTCACAACACACTCTTCATTTCCCAGCCCACAGGGCCAAGGCTTCCCATCCCAATACCCTCCGCCGGGCCTCCTTCCTCCCAGCGCAGGCTCTAATTTGCAGCAGCCATCACAAACCCCTTTGTCGTCACAAAACAATGATTCAGCAGGTTTAACATTCCCATCCACAGACTCCTCCATATCTGACAGATATTCCTACTATTTATCCACACTCCCGCTCTATTGCTCTGATTGGGGCCGTCTACCGGACTTCAGCACCGAGTGTATCGCCTTGTCGCTGTACAAAGAAGGCTTACTGAACAAACTACAGATTCTCCATGGAGTTGCCTACGGAAAAGATGCCACCACCGATTATAATGCCGCCAGCTTCAATCCTGGTGCAGATTCCGGTGTCGACACCGACGAGGCGAAATCCATTGAAGGGTTTGATTTCTACAAGGCGGCCGAGGTTTCGGTGGAATACCCCATCACCAACCTCCAGTGGGATCCAGCAATGGGTTCGGGTAGCCATGAACGGCTCGCAGCCTCGAGCGAGGTTCTACGGTTGTTCAAGGTGGACCACGACTCTTTGGACTCCAACAACAACTTCAGAATGTCTCAAACCCATTACTTAACCAACAGTACTTCTGGAGCCACTTCCGGTGGGATCATGAATTGTCCACCAGTGACGTCTTTTGACTGGAACAAACTCGAGTCCAACCTCATCATCACCGCCAGTGTCGACACCACGTGTACCGTGTGGGATCTCAATCGACTGAACCCCAATCCCGATCCTCATCAAGGGGACTCGGCCTACGTAAAGACTCAATTGATTGCACACGATCTGGAGGTGTTTGACGTGAAGTTTGTCACCGACTCCACCAATCTCTTTGCTTCGGTAGGGAACGACGGTAGCATAAGAATGTTTGACTTGAGACTGCTTGAACATCTGACAATTATCTATGAGCCTTCAAGTGGAACTGGCCCCAGTCGCCACAATTACAACTCCAAAGCGTTGCTCAAGCTAGCCACTTCGAACGTCGACCAGAACTACTTGGCTACGATTGGAGTCAACTCGAACCAGGTGATTGTCATTGATACTCGGCTTCCGGGTGTTCCAGTAGCAGTTTTGGATGGATCTCTTGGAGGTCGTAACTCGGGTGCCATTAATTCCATCAAGTGGCATCCCACTGGAAATTTCCTCCTTACGGGTGGTGATGACTGTCAGGCGTTGGTGTGGGATTGTAACAATTTCCAATTGCCTAAAGACCATGAGCATCCGTTCGTGGTAGGATCACCGGTTTTGTCGTACGAGGAGTCGCTCGAAGTGAATAATGTGTGTTGGAGGGCTCCCATGGGTGACTGGATGGGTGTGGTGAGTGGTAAAGGTTTCCAGGCAGTCCTGATATAAAGGGGGAACCCAGGCAGTTCTAATATAAAGGGGGGGGGATCCAGGCAGTCCTAATATAAAGGGGGGAACCCAGGCAGTCCTCGTGTAATAGGGTCCCAGGCAAATATACTCTTAAGCTTTTGAAGCTTATTAAACTGCCCTATTTTACTCATCGCCTAAACCTAGTTCACGTGACCATGTCTCTTACTAAAAATAGATCCCCTCCTGAACTGTGAATTGAGTTTCATGTCTTTGGTAGGCGTACGTGGTATCTGATCCAAGGCTCAAGCGGTGGTGCGACTGAAATTTAGGGCCTTACACCCAGACAAGTTCACAGCCACTCCCAAACTTCACTGGTATTCTCACAACGATATCTACTCCTATATTTAAGTGTTTGTGGTGTTAATTCCCCCTTGTAAGCCCCTCAAAAATACCTTATATTCTATCTTGAAATCCCCTTAACCTTATACATTTGATCGCAGCCCATACAGGAAATCAATACATTACTACCACAAAAAAATTTTACCAAGCAGCCCAGAATTATATCTATATATAACCAGGAAATTCCAATACCACCACCACCACCACCATTCTCAGCCCTTTCGTCAAAATACCGTTTGGCCTTCCGTGAAGTGTTGATGAAATTGGTTCCCATCCTCGGGGTCAGGAATACGGACACCAGTACAAAGAAGTTAACCAGACGACAAGACTCCCAAACAATAGATATGGCCAGTGCCGCCGTGAAAACCCTGGGCCAAGATACGACAGCCTATTCTGCTGATGGATCCGAATCGCCTATTTTCTCGTCAAATCTAAAAAGTTCCACTGCGACTGCGAACTCATTTTCTTCTTCTCCATCACAAGGCACCTCATATATGCTGACATCTACTCCCACACCCACACAGGCAACGGGCACCACGGGCAACACCGGTACGGTGTCCACGCAAACCACGACCCCCGCCACCACTTCCACCAGCAACCTCACCACGTCTAGGGATCTGGAGTCCACTTCATCTCCATCTTCCCTTGACGACGAGCTGAGCACCGTTTCTTCAGATACACCCTCCACCAGCAGTTTTGTGGTTCTGTCCGCAAGCGTTCCATCATCATTTGTGGTGTCGATGTCAAGGCGCTCCACTTCCAGCGCCTCTGTGGTGTCGCTGGAGCCTCTGTCACTGCAGTTATCATCTGAATCTTTTTTTAGCACACCCGCTTTTTCAAGCACTTTCAGCTCCCTGAGTACATTTACCACTTCTTCATTCGAGGATTTTTCCAGCCTGTCACTGGTACCTCTGTCAAAACACCAGTCACTGCATGCACCGCTGACCCTGTCGGAAGTGGCGTCTTCGCTGGAGGTCTTCAAATCTTCCAGCACCGAAGCTTCTTCTTCAGCCACCCTAGTCGAGTCGTCAAGCACCGAGTCCGAAATCACTACATCCCCGTACGTGGTGTCTGGCTCGTCTACTTTCACCCCATATAGCACGACGCTCTCTAAGCATGGAACTACTATCACCACGTTGGTCACAGTGCCTACGTCGGCTGCTGAAGATGCTTCACCAAAGAGCTCAGGCACCAACCAAAATGCCAAGCTCATTGGTGGATTGGTCGGGTCCATTGGTGGTACGATTCTTATTGGGTCGTTGGTGCTTCTCTTTCTCTTTTTGAAGAAGAGAAAGGGCAACTCTCTCAAGAACCAGAACCCCGATTTCAACGACAATTCAAATGATTCTGAATCGGAAGAGGAGGTAGCCACTGGCAAGCATGGTTTCAAGAAGCTTTTCGGCTCAAGGGCCGGGGTTCATGATAACGATCTCAAAAGCTTTGAGCATATTCCACCAGTTGCTGATGACGATAACGACGACTTCCAGTACAGAGGGGTCACCAACAATAATCTCGATTCGATATTCAAGCCTCTGGCTTCAAACTCTGGTGGGAATACTACTTATTATGGATCTACCGCTGCTGGGTCTACAGGACAAAACAGTAATCTCCATACTCGGTTCAATTCGGTCGCATACCCTAATCAGTACATGGATTTGAACGAGGAGGATGAACAATTTGACTTTGGAGACCAACTTCATACTCGTCATTCATCAGACGACGTGGATCCTCGGGTCTATGATGAAATGGATGCAGAGCATCATTTATTGGAGCCCACGAACCAGGTGTTTGGTGATAATGCCGTGAGTAACAACCTGCGGTCACGGTTCACGGAAGAGCTTTAACCGGCTGTCTAATATCTACTACATGGGTCTGGGATTAAAATAGTTAATAGTTAATCAAATTAAGAGTACTTAAAAACTCGCGAAAACTAGGTGAAAAATTTTGTTAACTACCACCATGTCTGCCAAAGGAGCTTTAGCCAAAAATGTTATGGTCAAGCTTATAGTGGGAGCCGGCCAAGCAGCTCCTGCTCCTCCTGTGGGTCCGGCATTAGGGTCCAAGGGGGTGAAAGCCATCGATTTCTGTAAAGAATTTAATGCAAGAACCGCAAATTTACAACCAGGAACTCCCATTCCATGTGTTTTGACAGTTAAACCAGATAGAACATTCACCTTTGAAATGAAATCACCTCCCACGTCTTGGTTGTTGATGAAAGCTGCCGGAATCAAGCAGGGATCCGGAAGACCTACTCATGATATCGTCGGCCAAATATCCTTGAAGCATGTGTATGAGATAGCCAAGATCAAAAAGACTGATGAAAGACATAAAGAAGTTGAAATGCAAGCCATTTGTGGAGCCATTATACTGACAGCTGATGCAATAGGTGTGAAAGTAGTGCCCTGAGCCATAGATGAGATATTCATTCCTGTAAATATATAAGTTATAAATATAATACTAACGAAGGTGCGTAGGTTGATGCAAAGAAATCAATTCTCTATACCTACTTTTTCTTATTCTTTTCAAATGCCGCTATATGGGCCTTCGACTGATCCACTTGGGTATGGTCATGGTCTTCACACCTTACACGTTCAGATACGCTGGTACCATCAGAGAGTACACGCTCTTCAACTGTGCACATTTGTACCCCTTGTAACCATGAATCTTGCAACACTTCGTCAATAGTGATTCTACAGGCAGGAGCTAACTCGACCATCCGTCCTATTAAGGGACGACAGTCTTCAGGTAATGCCAAAAGCAATCTACCTTCGCCTACCTCGTTAGAAGTGTGAGATTTTCCTTGAGTTTCGGGGTCTGTTTCCACCGCTTCTGCAATGTCCGATAAATCTCCCAATCCTTCACCGTTGGTGGTATGATGGGGAAGAGCAGCAAGGTCTGCTGGAGTACGCTTCAAAGTTTCACTAATTGGTATCATCTCACCTCTGCTGGCAAACAATTTGAAGCTATTATCGGATAATTTAGGCACTTTCCAAGGAAACTTCTTTAACATCATACAACAGTATATGATGGCAGTAGACCATACATCCACAGGACGAGGATCATACTTGTTAAACACACAAACCTCTGGTGCCAAATAAGGATCTGATCCAACAATTCCCTGAGCTTCAATCAACGTCTTGGTAAATGGGTAAGAAAACACCACTGCGGAACCAAAGTCGATGATCTTGACAATTCCTCTCTTGTCAATGACACAATTATCTAACTTCAAATCCCGGTGGGCTAACCCCATGGTATGCAAGTAATGGACTCCTGATAATATTTGCTTGAAGCAACAGTTGATTTCTTCCCGTGACATCTTGTTAGACATGACAATTGCAAATAAATCGTAATCACAATACTCCATCACTTGTAAAATATGATCATTTTCGTAACAGATTTCAATGGTTTCAATAATATTAGGATGCTTCAAAGTTGACCCAATACAATATTCTCCCGTAATCTTCTTTGCATAATCACGTTTGGTCTCGTTTTGGTACTTGTTTCTGAACTCCTTGACGGCAAATAATTGCTTGTCACTAATTCTAGTTACAAGACGAACCGAACCACCAGCTCCAGCACCCAAGTTTTCCCCATACTTACTGTATCTCTTGGAGAATGGAAGTTGGGGATGCAAGTTGACTAAGCTAGTCACTGACCCTCTCCTATCATGCTGATAATTAATTTTGTTTTGGAGCGAGTTGGAGTAACTGTTAGAAAAGCCATTAGAATAGTTGCCAGCTATAGGAGAAGTTGGCATCGATTGGCCCTGCGATGCGTATGACGAGTTGGTGGAGTTTGCCGTCAAATTGTAGGAAGTGATGGGCGTGTTACTCAAACTACCAGGAGTAGAGCGTAACGAAGAAGACAAGTTCAGCACCGTGGTTGTGTTGGGAGAAGTTGACGACTTCTTGAAAAACCGCTTCAAGTTGACCATCGAGTTATGACGAGATTGGTTGGGGAAGTACGAGTCACTAGATGATAAAGAAGAAGGTGATCCTGAAAACATTTGTCCTTGTTGTTCTTGGAACGAATTGTTGTAGAAAGAACCCAAGTCAGTAGAAGACCCCGGTCTTTTTATAGGCTTGGATTTTCCACTGAAAAAATACGATAATCCCGATTGTGAACCTGTTCTTTGGCTGGAGCCCATCAGGGCGGCATGGGCCTGGGCCACCCGTTGCTTCAGTACCACGAATCGTTGGTCAATGCTGGAGGAAGACACTTGGGGACTCAGAATATGGATCGACGATATCGGCTGACCGTTGGGTAAGTTGGGAACATGGCTGGAGCCACCAGAGGCCGACCCAGAACTTATACTGGCAGGACCCGGGGCCTCCAGTAAACTGCCCAACGTGTTGAGACTCGACGTACTGTTGGCCAGTTGGGAAAGAGTGGAGTTTCCCCGTCCACCGGGAGCGGAGTAAGGAATCGAATTCGACAAACTCTCCGAGTAGTTGAGGAACAGCGAGTGGCCCAACGAGTTCGTACGGACCACTCGAGGACTGGCATTAATTGGAGGTTTAATTGGAATGACTCTGTTGAGGCTCGAGAGTTTTGATTTCGGCGACTCCGAGACAAGCTCCGAGTCGAAAGCATCAGTTTCGTTCGTTTGGCCAATATCACTGTCTTCGGTGCCGACTTCTTGGGGCTCAAGCGTCTTTGTGTTAAAAGTGATCCCGTCAGAACTGTTGGAAGAAGGGGAGGTTTTAAGAAGACCATCTTTGAGAGAAGACGTCGAAGCATTATTGGACTGCTGGGGGGACGCTTGGTTGGAGTTGGACTCGTTTAGTAACCGGGTCAACGAACTAACCGGTAACTTATCTTTTTCGGCTTGCATGATTTATTGGGTGTTAGAAATACAAATGCTGGGAGATAAAATAGGGGCAACAAGATCTGTGTGCATGCGTTACTTCAAGGTGAAGAAGGTTGAACTTGTAAGCTTGGGTGTATGGCAAGCACAAAAGGAAGTCGATATTTTGTGATCAAACCGATTCAATGTTCTTGGACGTTATTGATCTTGACACTTTCGAGTTTGTCAATTTATCGGAGTGAGTGATAAGGGAAAAAGGAAAATGATAAAATCTTATTGGATTGCCCTCGCGGATCTCCTAGTGAAATTATGCTGATAGGACTACGGAAGAATAAAATAGAATTTAGGTCGATGAAAGTTTGTGGTTAAAGGTATGATATATTTAAGAGAAGGCACCTGGTATTGGTGGTGGGGGTTTCTGAATGGTTTTTGGTAGAATATACGTCAAGCTACTAAGGTTTTATCGGACTTATTTCTGACTGCCGACGAGACAGAAAAGAGCGATGAAAATCATACGACATGCATTTTTCTATCTACTGAGTTACTTCTTGGCCTTGGACTTTTTCTTCTTGGAACTGGTGCTACTGCCTGGCACAGACTCAGGAAATAATGGCATATCTGGTTGAATCAGTTGCCTAAGATATCCCAATTTAGAATCCAATTCTTCCACTGATGCTGGTATTTCGTGGATATCTTGTTTCTTTTTCAATTGGGCAAGATGCTTCTCCTTGGCCTCCTGTAATCTCTGTTCTTTGGGCTTTTTCAGTTCATTTTTTTTCTCCTGTTTCTTACGTTCGATAGCACTCTGTTTCTCCAACTTGGTAATCAACTCTTCTGTTTGGTCAAATATTGCAGCCTGAAGTTCCGTATCCTTAAACTCCTTTCTGCTTGGCCGGATCACTTTGCACTCCAGAATCATTTGACCTCCATCCATTTTAGCAAGGAAAGGCGCCCACAATGCAAACAAAAACGACTGTTGACCTTCATACGGATGCTTGAAGAAGATGTACCATATGGGGAACAAAAGCACGTACAACAACAATCCCCAGATGGTTCCCATCGACAAAAACCGCCTGGTAGAAGGAGATCTCATCATTCCAGGGTTCACCAAATTAATTTTGATATTACAAGGAAGCTTATCCTTTCTTTCGTATTCGTCACAACGTTTTTGGAACTCTTTGGCAAATAGCCCCATCAATAACTTGGACGTCCCATACCACAAGTACGGTTTATTCTTGTTGTATCTTTTATTCTCAAAGAGTAAATCTTCGAGATCCACTTCTCCAAGTGACTGTGACAGACATGTTGCCATCACTACCCGCACATCTCTATCACCAGGTTGGACTCTCAAAGCAGGTGCCAACAAAGTGATCAAATGGTAATGGGCCAAGTAATTAATACCTATTTGCCTCTCTACCCCTTCCTCAGTTACTTGTCTGGTCTTTCCCACTGGCAAACACTCAGCAGCACAACAGAGAATACCGTCTAACCGTCTGGGGGGTTGGTTATCAAGCCACTTCGTGGCAAACTTCCGCACCGAGTATAACGAGTTTAAATCACACTGTTCGGCGTAAATCATGAAGTTGTTGGTGGTTTCTCTCAAGTCATCGACATACTCTTCCAACCAATTATCTTCGATGGTCCGGACAAGAAGGATGATCTGTGCTCCACGAGTTGCCAACTCTTTGACAAGTTCGCTGCCGAGTCCCGAAGTTCCTCCGGTGACTATGTAAACTTTCCCGTGCATGTCTCTTTCCCAAGTGTTCATAGAGCCACGGAAGTAGTATTTTATTGCTGCCAAGCCCAACACAGCAGGGCCATATGCCTTAATGTATGGCCATCCGGGGATGATCTCTGGGCCGTTCACCACGGCGTTATGAATGATATCCACGGGCATTTGTATTTACTGGAGAATTGACGTGTTGAAGAGTGAAAATTGATTTAAAATCGCGCTGTAGAATTGACGTGCCACTCTTTCTGTTGGAATCATGGGATTATAAATAATTTTCATATTTTGTATCGACTTACGTTTCCCAGGTCAAGGCCCAGGCTGGCTGACTAAGTGAACCTCATAGTAACGCCGTTATCCTTTACGGTTGTTCCTTTTGCGATATTACCGACTGTAAATAGTCATGATTATGCCTTATTCACTCTGATGTATATGATAGCAGTCCGTACATGGACCAAATGCGTGGACCAGTTACCGGTTGACCTCATGGCGTTGTGAATGGTGGTGTACTGTCTTCTAAATTATGTGGTAAGTAATTTACTCCTAAAGGACCCTATACTGTTGGAGAAACAAACCAATTAGGAACCTGGTTCGGTTCGCTCAGCGGTTACGGTTGAACAAATAGTTTTATAATACTGTAGGTCCCAGAATTTACTGGTTACGATTACTTCAATAGCTTGGCTAACTACAACATCTTGAATAACTACAACAGCTCGAATTCCTTAAACTTTTTGACGATGAAATCGATTGGCTAGAAAACCACTGTGATGTGTGTATCCAATAAGCACTCTCCATATTTACAAGTTGTAATGAGCAGTTGTAGCGGAATTCGCAGCACCGCATGAACAGTTATATCTTCAATTACATCTACTACCAATTTGCAGCATCTGCGATGCTGCATTTTTTTGCTGCGCGAACCTCATCTGAAAAATCTGAAAAATTGTGTAGTGGACTATGGAAGAGGTGATATTCTATGTGGGCCAAGGTGATCCTACCGACAAGCAGTCGCAGGAATCGTATGCTTTTGCACAGCTGGTGCATGGTTCTAGACAGCTTCAAATGTTTCGGAACGCTGACTGTGCCAAAAACGGTGCTGCTTTTACAGGCGTCGGCATCGGAGAAAAGGCTTTTATCGCATCGCCAAACAAAGCTCTCATTAACGTCTATTCATTTGGTAAAGATGGTATCGACCAGCGAATGCCAGTTCCAGAACAGGTGAACTGTTTGGCGGTTCTCAAAATGAACACAAGTCCGTCTGATCAGAGTCTCAACAAACCTTCCTACAGAACTCCATGGTTATTGGCGGCAGGCTCTAAAACTGGTAAAGTATACATATGGGACATCCTCAGTGGAGAATTAATCTTTGCCAAGGACGTACATTACCAAAGCATCACCAAGATAGCCTTCAGTAAATGTGGAACGTTTTTAATCACCGGATCTGAGGACTCTAGGTGCCTCATCTTTAAGACCATCGAGTTGGTATCCATTTTCAACAAGGACCATGACACGAACGTCAAGCCATATATGTCCATCACCGATCACACGTTACCAGTAACAGACTTTTATGTCAGTAATGGCCTCATAAATGACGTTTCGTTGTACACTGTCTCTATAGATAGCACTTTGAGAGTGTATAACATCACGACCCGACAATTGATGCACACCTTCGTGTTATCCTCTAGTATAGAGTGTGTGACAGTGGATCCTTGTGGCAGAAACATGTATCTTGGATTGACCAATGGTCAAATTCGAGTGGTACCAATGTTCAAAGTGAACAATATGAACTTGGAAAGAGCAGGAAAGTTCGGAGAAATTCTCACTGTACCCAACGACCCAGAACTCCAGAATACGCTTACTGCCCACGACAGTGCTGTGCTGCAGTTGGAAGTTTCGCTTGACGGAATGAGTTTAATCAGTGGTGATGTTAATGGGAATGTGTATGTTTCTGACATCACCTCCAAACAGATTGTAAGAAGCTTCAAAATCAGCACCGCTATCACCCATATCCTGGCCATCGTGTGCCCTGAAGAAGCAATCAAAAACGACTTGGTGGCAGACAAACGAAGCCGGTTACTTCCTCCATTAAAGAGAGTCTTGCAAGGTCTTGACCAAGTATCATACGAAGTTAATGTCGAGATTCCCGAAGCACAAACCCACTCGGATATCAGTTTCCAACACTGGCTCGATGCCCAGGCGAGTGACGAGTTGCTGTTCAAAATCGGTACCACCTCCAGTACTGGTACAACCACCACCACATCCTCTGAAGATGGCCAGAAGTTGGCGAAATTATCCACTGCATACGCCGAGTTGAAGGCCAAGTATGACGAGTTATTGGCCGACCACCGGGCCCTCTTGTAGCACTTTTTAGCTGAATAGTAATGACCTTTAACTTACTCTAGTTTTCATCTAATGGCTTATTGTTCTTATTACGATTCACGTATTGTCTGTAGTTGGTTTTCTTGATCTCCTCCGAGGCACCACTCTTAGAGGCATTGACCTTTTTGCCCTTCGTGGAACCGAATGCTGAGAAGCCCATGAGACTAATCATATCACTATCTGGTACATCGGCAGATAAGATTCTAGCCTTAGTACGTGCTCTTCCACGGTCATCATCTTTGGGACTCGAAATCGAGTCATCATAACTAGACAGCTTCTCGGAGTCGAATGGTTCTCTTTCTGTAGTCAGTCCATCGGTTTTGGTGTTTGTGGACCTTTGTTTTGGAAGTTGTTTTGGTGATGTGGCATCGGCTGAAACGAATGACAAAAACTCCGAAGCGTCGCTGTCTTCTTCCAGACCCACCGTGGCACCATGGGACGTTGTGTCTCTGCGTTTACGCTCCATAGGAGGCAGTCTGGACCGTGGTCTATTCATGTAATTTAAAGCACACACTATCAACTCCTGGCGAATTCCTGTATCTCAAATCATCGCACCTCGCTCTTTTTTCTCACTCTTGTAACCTAAGAACAGACGTCGGTATGGAAGAAGAGAAGCTCACCAAAAAACAGAGAAAAGCTCTTGAGTTCAGAAAGAAGATTGAGAAGAAGGAGAAGAAGCCGGAGGAGCCAAAACCAACGGATACAGAAACCCAAAAAAAGAGAAAACTTGGAGATGAGGTAAGTGCCGCCAGTGATGAAGATGCACCTAAAAAGAAAAGAAAGACCAGAAGAGGTAAGAAGGGTAAAGGGGTCAACGGTGGTAAAGGCCCTCGTTTCCTTTTGTTTGTGGGGAACCTTCCGTACGATGTTTCTGAAACCGAATTGGCTAAACATTTCAAAAATTCCAAGCCTGACAGAATGAGAATAAGGAAAGACAAGGGAATAGCGTTCTTGGAGTTCGACAACGATACTAGGGAAATCCAAAGTAAGATGGAATCAGCTTTGAGAATGCATCATTCTATGGTAAGAACTCGGAAGATCAACGTGGAGTTGACTGTTGGAGGTGGTGGTAACTCTGAGACCCGAGTACAGAAGATCAAGGGCAAGAACGATAAGCTTTTGGAAGAAAGAAGGGACCGGGTCAAGACGAAGGGAAGTGCGGCGGTAGATGGTGCTGATACTGAAGGCATACATCCATCCAGATTAGCAATGGTGAACAAGTAGCATACGGTTACATAGTAATATAGAAGCATACATGGATTATTACAAACGTACATGGATTCTATTAACAACATGCTTCATTTTCAGAAAACAATATACCGACAGGCTTACTGAATAACTGTCCGCATAAGTTGATACACTTACAAAATAGAACACTTTCTGCTCTTTCTAACGGTTCTTTTTCTTTGAGTAGATCCACCGGTCCCAGCTCCACTCTTATCAGCAACAGTTTTAGTTTGATAAGTTTGTGCCAGCTCTTTGACGGGAGGATCCAATACAGCACTTATAGCATAGTCAAATACGTCATTGACGCCCTGTTGAGTGGCAGCAGAGCATTCCATATATCTAACACATCCCAATTCCTTGGCCATTTTTGTACCTTGCTCAAGCGTTATAGGCTTCAAGTTTTTTTCACTCAAATCATCCAAAATGTGTAAATCATCTCTCAAGTCAACCTTGGTTCCTACAAGTAAAATCAAGATATCCTTAGGCGAATGATGTAATAATTCAGGTATCCACTTGGATTTGATATTGTGGAAAGAATCAGGCGATACCACTGAAAAGCAGCATAAAAAGATCTCAGTTTGTGGATAACTCAAAGGTCTCAATCGGTCGTACTCCGCCTGACCAGCAGTATCCCAGAGTCCCAATTTAACCACTTCTCCGTCTATCAAAACAGAAGCCGAGTAATTGTCGAAAACGGTTGGGATGTAATCATTGGGAAACGTATTAGTAGTATAACTGATCAAGAGACAAGTTTTACCTACGGCCCCGTCACCCACTACCACTGCTTTGATGCTTCTCATGAGATGTTCAAATGCAAAAAAACGATTGTGTTTAAGAAACAAAAAGGGAGCTTTTTCGTAGATAGTTTTTTTTCCACTTGACAATTATCGCACCAGTTGAAAACGCATATAGGAGAGACATTGGTTTTAATAATATCGAAAACAACTTCAGGGGCAAAAGAACCAACTTTCGGAAACATAGATGGTTTGTGGAGGTACAGTCGTATTTTTTTGTCTTTTTTCCTCCTTTTTCTTACTTTACACTTACTACTTTCTTACATGTATGCCTAAATGTTGTAATAATGGGTTGTCCAGTTGCAGTTTTTACGAATCTCATAAAAGAATAGGTCAGATAAACAACAGGATGACACAAAAAGTTCTTACAATCCACAAAAATAATTTTTTCCGTAGTTGCAGCCACACTAGTACCAGGGCCGGCACCCATCGACTCGAGGCTGGCTGGCTTCGCTTGGCACTGCCGTTCTCGTCCGGTAGTGGTTGAAAATATTGAGATAACAGCCGCTTGATTTTCGCACCAGGAAAAACGAAGGCGATTAACTCGTTGAACTACCATGAAACTTATGACATACAAGGAGTTACTCCCTGTTGGAACGGGGTTGATCATATTCGCTACTGGGTTTGGACTTGGTGCTGTCTATAGTAATTTGCCATATGACTATGCCACTTTGTGGAGCTCTCCAGCAGATAGTACGGCTGCTTTCCAAGCATCTTTTGATCACTATTTGAGATGGGCCAATGTTCCAGCTAGAGTGCATTACATGTTACACTTTGTGTTTGTGATTGGTTTGGTTGGATGTTTGATCAAGATTTTCAAGCCCACTGAAGATACCAAGTATTTTGAGTATGGAACCATGGGGATGCTTTTGTTGTCGATTGTGATATATTTGAGCAACTTGAGAACTGGAATCAACTCGTGTTTCCACAACCAGTGGGGTGAAGTCCCCATGGAAACCGGAATCAATGTTATTGCTGCATCCCAGTTCTTTATTGTGGTATTGCTTGTAGGTGTATTGGTCTTACAAGGAGGTTTGTACTATGCTGAATGGTATGATAAGCAGTTGAAAATTGAGTTTTATGAGCAGAACCCAGACTACAAGGAGGTAAACGGTCAACCCACCAAGGTGGACGAGTTGACTGCTGCTGGTAATGAGGAAGGTGAAGCTGTGGCTATCACCTCGGGTGCCGATGTGAAGAAGGACAAGAAAGACAAGAAAGACAAGAAGAAGAAGAAACAGTAGAGGCGAGTCTTTTAGTATGTACATCTAGGGCTGAATCAGATATTTCCCATTGTGTATAATATGAATCACGTTGTAGAATTCTTGAAACTGCCTCTCCACAAGAATCAATCAAAGTCGCACTTCGCATTGGCCAATAAAATTTTTGTCAATAGTAAACCAACGCAAATATGGGTGTAGCAGACAAAGTATACGGTGAATACCCAGTCTACTTTAAGCAACCAATCAGAGTATGTATAACTATTGAAGAGCACAAGGACCATCAGTGTTACAGTTTTGTGGAGTTCTTACTGTTTGAAGGCAACGACCTATCAAGGTGACATAAACAACACCATAATGCATATACATGTGAAGGAGTAGAAATGTAACAACAAATCCCAGCAATTTTAGATGTTTCACCAGTCAAAAGAAGTTAGACAGCACATGAATATCCATAGAAACATGAAATAGGATATGATCCAGATATTTAAGCTTTCACGTCAAGTATCGACATCATCCACAAACCTTAACAAGCTCGTCCTAACAGCTTTTGAAGACTGTCCCATAGAACCACCATATACTAACGCCCTGTAGTGGTTGAAATATCATGCACACACAAAACCACACTTTTTTTGGTCAATTGCCTTTGGATTATCAGCTCCAGTATTATTGTTAGCCACTCCTATAAGAAGAAAGTACTTGTGGGCCGACCATGAACCAATTCCTCGCACCTATCCTTTGCCCAATAGACCAAGAGACAAAAACTTGTCGGGATACGATGATTAACCGCATATAGATAATACTACAAAACGTGCAGCTGAACCTGTAGAAACTTAAATAGCCCTCAACAGTTACCCACTTGGAGGAGTTATATGAGTTGAAGCAGACTTTTCATTCCTAGGTATCTACTTCTTACAACGTCTTCTTTCCCAAATACCAACTTCTCTACTACTTCTCAATCGCAAATCAGCCTAACAAAAAAGTCGCACAACCGAGATGAAAATTTTTATCCACAGAAGCATGTTGCCAATAAATAGAATCGGACTCAGACTGTTCCATAACAGTGTCATCTGTCGCAACAGTCTCTTCGGAGAGTTCACCAAGAGAACAGATCCGGTGGCTGATTTCAAGCCGAAGGAGGTGACAGAAGTGGATTCTGAGTCAGATAAGAAGGTCAGACCAAAGGACGACCAAGACTTACAAGCATTCTACAGAAAGGAAATGGAACAGAAGCAAATCTCCGATGCCAAGTTCATCACCCCTTTAAAAAGAGAATTGTTCCAGCTCAACGTCGATAAGAACGGGTTTTTCAAGAACCATGATATTGTCACCAAAGACAGTAAACCATACAAGATCTCCTTGACGGAAAAAGAGATAGACATATTAGAACCTACCATATTTTTGAAGTCCTTGAGACTCAAAGGATCGATGAAGAAGGCCACTATTGTCAACCGGTTTGTGCGGGGGTTAAATGTAAAAAATGCCATAAACCAATTACATTTCAATCCAAAGAAAATGTCTACCGAACTTGAAAAATTGTTGAAACAAGGTTTGGAACAATCCCGTGAGTTGAACATGAATGAAGATAAACTCTATATTCAAAGTTTATGGGTGGGAAGTGATGGAGACTGGCAAAAACGATTGGATCCTAAAGGAAGAGGTAGAATGGGAATGATTCGTCATAGATACGTGCACTTGAAGTGCATTTTGAAGGGAGATTTGACCAAAAAACGGTTGGCATACGAGAGGCAGCTCAAAGATAGCTTTAAGAAGCCAAAGATGGGGTTGAATAATCAACCATTAAACTTCAGCAATGTTCCGTTCTATAAATGGTAGATTGGAAATGGTTGCAACCCGGACCGTCGCAACCGCGAGTGCAACCGCCACAGCCCCAGGTCTCGAACTTTAAAACAACACTGCTCTAATTACATACTCGTACGTACAACCACTGCGGGCAAACCTGTAAATATAAAATAAATGGTTTAGATGCAATTTTCGTTATAGTGCAAGTCCAAAAAAAAATTGATATTTAAGGAGACGACTCTGTCATTTATTTTATCCCTTTAATTTCACACAGTTTAAGAACTGCCATAAACAATTTTTAATTTAATTCCTTCAAGTTACAGAACAAGGGTGTATATTTCAAGCACCTCTTATCCCCTTTCTTAAGTGTTTTTTCAGGCCTTTGCATCATGGGATTACAGTATACCAACTTTTTTGAGGAGGAAGATTATGAGTCTAGTGACACCCAAATCATTGTCTGCGCTGAGTGCTCATGCCATTTGTGTTTATCCAGCTTGGTTATAAGCGACTCTTTCAGCAGCATCTCCGGCCAAGCATACTTTGTGGACAAGCTCATCAACATTTCGGCTGACAAGGAGATTGAAGAGACGCAAATGAGGACAGGGCTTTATTGGGTCAAGAAGATTAGATGCCACCAGTGTATGAATGTATTGGGGTGGAGCTACGTGAAGTCTGCCAGTTCTAGAGAGAGCTATAAGGTTGGGAAATTTGTCATTGAAGATGCGTACATTCGGTTCATTGACAATAATTCATCTACCAAGAACTTGATAGAGTTGACCAAACAAAACTACCGTAGACGTTTAAGTTCCAATTCCACCTTGGTTGAAGAAGACGAGTTCAAGTTTGGCGACTTGAAGTGCTTAAATCGGTTACGGTTGCAGAACGTCAAGGAGTTGGAAAATGAATCGGACGCCGATGTGTTGGTGGATTATTAGGCTGGCAATTGCACATATATATACTTTTAGAGAATGGCCACAAGGAGGGTTTTTTGGGTATGGATGACCTGTTGGCACGGTTAGGGATATGGATAACCAGATGGCATGGATGCCGGGTTTGGTAGGACTAGTTAATAGGTTAATAAATAAATTAGAAAAATGTTGAGTAGTGTAGAACAAATTTAGACCAGGGCTTTGGTAGCGGAACCTTTATGAGACAGGGCTGGTACCGAGAAGCGAGTAGGGGTGACGTGGTTGTGAGGACATTGAGCTCCCCATCACAAACACGACTACGTGGAACACGACTTGTTGAACACGACCATCGCTTGAGGGTGGCTGCAAATGGAGGTTGCAGCCGCGCGCATCGCAACACTTTTATGGGAATGTCTATTGTTGTACTATACACGGGATCATTTAGTTTTGACTTATCGCCACTAGATTAGCCACTCTTGGGAGTCATCTTGGAGTATATGAGTACATAAGCTGATGGGTCGTTCAATGCTTGGATTTCGCTGATCTTATTAATGTATTCATCGTCGTAGGTGTACCACGATTTATCTGGTTGTAAGCAGTGGGAAATGTAATGTCCCGAACTTAAACTACGTCCTTCGTGACTGATAATGGAAATCAACTGGTACACTGTGGGGGATTTCTTGGTGGTATAATCGGTCATATCCAAGTAGTTCGAGTACTTCATCAGTTGCTTGACTTTCATGGATTGACTGCCATTAAACTTAAACCGCTTTAGATGCACCGTCAAATATTCGGGAGCAATATCCACCGTACTGTGCTTGAGGGCATTAGTATTGAGACGGCACTTTTCACAGAAATACCCCGACTCTTTGTCTTGGTTGTCAGTTTTGATGAGCTCTTGGCTGAAAAAGTCCTTGAGCGATCGGGAGATGGAGTATTTCAGTTGTTTCCGCTTCTTAAACCCTAGTGACAAGTCATAGAACTCCTGCTTTGTAGTGCTCTTATTGTGGCATCTTTCACATACGACTGTTTGGTTTAATAATCCCCCAAATATATCGTAGATAATGGACTTGTTCAATTTGACTCCTTTGGGAGTGGAATCCTCCTGTAAACGAGACATCAAACTCATGAAATATTCGTGGCTATCTTCTTGTTGCCATTCAGACATCATGCAGTTGATATCCCCCAATCTGTTGATGACTCGCTTGGGGTGAATATACTTCTTCTTGTTATTATCGAGGTTCCACAATCGGTGGGCCAATTCAGCCAATACGTGTGTCACCGACTTCACCGGTAATGTCTTATTGTGACGGTCTGAGTGCACTTCCGCGAGGTAGTTGGTGATGGCAGGAATATGAACCATCGATTGAATAGCCGTATTCATATAGCAGGTAACTCCTTGATTAAGAAGTCCCAATGGTTTCCGATTAGTGTACAGTTTGACAAAACTTTTATTAATTCGACGAGACCCGTTACTGCCTCTATCACGAGGGAATTCGTTGAAGTCATAGAACCCAGATGTGTCGATGGCACTGGATTCGGGTTCTGCTTGGGATGACGATGAGCTTGGACTTGCACCGGTAGCAGAAGCAGGTACATCGATTTCGAGCTCGCCCGGTTCGCCTGGATCCTTCACATCTTGTTCGAGGTCATCACGTAAAACGGCCTTGAGGGTATCCAAGTCTTCAGGGTCTGAAGGTGATTCAGCCGAAGGGGATTCAGAAGGCGAAATGTTTTGAGAAGCGTTATAGTCTGAGTCTGACGAGCTGCTGTTGTACTCGTGGGCGGACTCGAATACATCGGACGAAGAGGGAGACGGAGACGGTATGGCGGTGTTTGTTTCGTGGTCAGGAAAGTCAGTACCTTGTTTAGAATTGGAATCGGCTATTTGGGGTGTAACAGCGATTTCTTCTCCTAGGTCTTCATCGCTGTCGGCCAAGGCTGCCACCTTTCGGCGCTTTGTATTGCTGGTGCCGTACTGGCGCCCAGTGTAGGCCTGTAAAGCTTCTGCCATAGAAACCGGTCTCTTTTTCGTAGGCTTTGCTTTCTCAGCGGACGAAGTTGATATGCCGGAGTTTTTGTTTATTTCAGGGTCAGCTGATTCAGGTTTGGTATTGGGGTTACTCAACACGACGATTTTACTTGAATGGACTTCATTTACGGTTTCGAGCGAGTTGTTTTGGATGAATTTTAATGGGTTCATCAAAATGCGATCGATGATGGGACTGATAGTTTTCTTCTTCATGGAGGCAGGTCAAAACGGGGGGAAGCGCGGGAGAAAACGGGAGATACAAGGGCCGAGGGGGAGAATAGGGAAAATGTGTCGACACGTGACGTGGGGGCTGGTAGCAAAACGAGGGCGATGGGATGAGATTTTTGGGCCCTTTGGTGTTTTGCAGTTTTTAGTGGGAAGGAAGTCTGCGCGAAAATTTGATGGATGTTATCGCGAATGTCGTATGGGTTGGGGAGTGGGAAAGGGTGTCGTGGTATGTCGCGTTCACTACACTATCTCTACAAACTAATGCAAAAAATACTTCATTATCGGGTTAATTGAAAAGCTTTCGTTGGATATCTTGAACAATCAATTCCCTCACCTCATGTGTTCCCAAGCGATTACACCCATCAGCTAATAAAGCCAAATCCTTGTTACCAGCAATACGTCGACGAAACTTCCTAGGTTTTGTATAGATGCTGGCCTCATCATTGGAAGTATCGTCGTCTAGGTCGTCATAGTTGACATCGACGGAGCTGAGCACATCATCTTCCATCATATCATCTTCAGGTATGGTTGATGGAGGAGGAACAGGACTGGTAATTCGATGTTTGCTGGCGGCATTATAGGGATTAAGGTGGTTGGAAGCTTCGGCCTCGGCCAGTTTCACAAAGAGTCCGTTGAACTGCGTCGCGAGTCTTCGATGGCTATTCATTTGCGATGTGATCTTCTCTGTACCCTCACCTTCCATAGACATACGTCCTTCATGACCCGCATGACATACGAGACGGGTGGCCTTAGTTATGGCGTCCATCTTGCTGGCCTCATGCGACTCAGCAACCTCGGGTTTCACCACCAACTCTTGGACCCATGTTTCCTTGTTCATGAATCTCACAAGCTCTTCATCAGCGGTGGTGCGGTAGATTTCAATATCCAACGAGTAGTACAGGTCAGCATGATTACCAAAACGGGCTCTTTTCTCGGTCGTCACACCTGACGGGTCGGTCTTGAAGTCATCCGGATACGTTCTAAATGCTCCGAGTTCTATTTTACCTTGCTTGATACTTTTGAACGGGTCAATCACAATCGCAAGATAAGGATCCTGAATCTGATTCAAACTCTGGGTCGATACGTCAATCCCACTGAGCCAGCAACCATACCCGGGGTGTGAATGGTACCATCCCACAATATTCTCATTGGGACGTAGTTTATTATTGAGTTGGAGGTACAGAACCATATACTCATATCCCTCGAGCTGAGCATTAACACGAGTTTCAGTGCCTTCAACAGGAATGGCGTAGACATCCGTCACAATGATACATCCCGCATGGATTTTCCCTATAAGCAGACCCATGATTTCGATGTCTCCGCCTAGAGCGGCATGTTGTGCCATTTTAAATACTGCTAGGGTGGAGATGGCGGTTTTGGTAAAGTATTTGGGGTCTTTTTTCCAGGGCCTTTTAGCCATAGCCTTGGAGTCTCCGGCAACCGAGTGGTAGAAGTCACCGTCAGCGACACTCACAGACGAGGAGGTATCCACCTTGAAGTACTTGCTGAGTTCCTGAAGGTGTGTCATTGGGGTTAGAGTTGGTCGCGCAGTTTTGATGCTGCAAAAGTGCGCGCCAAGTCAATACCGCTGGTCTACTACAAGATTCGTTCACATTATAAATTTCTCTATTTCTTTCCTAACTCAGTCACGTGGATCTGGTCCACTCCATCACTCTCAATATCACCAATACTTCCCAACCTGTCTTCTTCAAATAACCGGGAAAGCTCCTCCAAAGTAAGCCCCAAAGTCTCGGGAAACAAAAAGTACACCAAGGTCAACCACACCAAATTGAGACACATGTAGAAAATATAGTATTTCCATGTGATCTTAGCAAGTGCAATAGGGTTGACATACATGTTGATGATCAAAGCCACCTGTCCCACCAAGTTCTTCCATGCGAGCCCCTTGGCTCTAATACTAAATGGTAACAACTCGGTGGTGTATGAGTACAACAACGGGTTACAGGCGATGTTGTAGGAGAAATCATAGAGAAATAACATCACAATCACTCCATATGCCACATTAACACTGTTGGTTTTAGCATACTCGGCCGTCAAAGCGGTGAAAGGAATGTTAACCACGATCATTCCAATGATCGAGAGCATCCACATAGGTCTTCTTCCAACCCTAGCAGAAACATAGGCTCCAAGTACTGAAGACACAAGGTTCATGACATTCAAACCGGTGTTAATCCCCGTTTGTTTTGAGGGATTGTTGATTCCTACCAACTCCAAAATGGAGGTGAAGTAAAAGGTGATGATGGACTGGCCCGACCACAAAGCCATCAATGTCATGATGGTAATCACCATAAATCTCTTTCTGTGGGGCTTGTGCAGTAAAATTTGCTTGTAGGACTGAGTGTCTTTTGAGTTCAAAATAGCCACCTCGATATCATCGACTTCCTTAAGCACCAAGGGATCATTCAAGTCTCCATTGGAATGATACTTGGCCAAGGTTGCAAGAGCCTGCTCTTTCTTCCCCCGGACAATGAGGTAAGATGGCGATTCGGGCATAAAAATTGTGAAGGGAATACAAACCAATGGGAACACTCCTTGGATAAAACTGGGGATTCTCCACCCCATGGAGTTGGTGACCGACATGTGAGTAGTTCCGAACGCAGTGGCAGCACACACGATACTTCCCACGTACCAGAAGGGATTGAAAAGTGATACCAAAGTTCCTTTCATTCTTGGGTGTGCTAACTCAAAAAGCATTGCTGGTCCTGAGTTGGTTATGGAGGCAATTCCTACCCCCATAATGAACCGGGCACACAAGTATTGGGCGTATGTGTACGAAGAAGCTTGAATGGCAGCACCAATAACGGTGAGAACCTGTCCCAAGAGTAAGCCCAATTTTCTACCAAACCTGTCAGCAAACATACCACATGGAATCGAACCAGCCAAACATCCCATGAAATAAATAGAGGTGATAATTCCGAGCTGGGAAGAATCAGGGTTTCCAAGCATAGTTTTCCAGCTTGCAAATGCTTGCAAATTGGAAGTGTTGGAAGCGTCAAACCCAGTACATATCTGAGAGAAGAACACCACGAAGATCCAAACCTGAAGTTTTCTGAGACCTGGATCTTTATACCATATTGGAGCGGTGTTGTTTGGAAGGGTGAGAATCTCGTCGATGTGACCGGAGGTGGACTTTCTGGCTTCTTTGTTAATTTTGAACATCTTTAATTAGAAGTTCATTATATGTGCCAATTATGCATCCTTTATATATCAAATGGCAGATCTTATCGCAGCTTCCTCCCAAAACGGAAGTCGCACAATAAAGTAGCCGGGTGCAAACTGCGGATTTTCAAGCCAGGAAATTTAACAAGATAACAATCAAATTGACAACTGCATATACTAAACAAGATAACACACTAATACGGAACAACTCCGGCGAGTTTAAGTAACTTCTCGGTGAGTATGGGCTTAACTCTGGGTTCGTCACGATCTCTAGGATCTCTGGTACCGTCTTCAAGAAGAGTGTGCGGAGGTCTTCTTATGATGTTGTCATGAGGCCAATGGGTGGTAGCAGACCACGTTTCAAAACACTTCTTTTTTTCATCCAAAGTCTCATCCGTAGCAAAAAAGTATGGGCTGTAGGAAGCATAAACCACGGTTCTAATCTCTGAGCTGGTTTGTTTTGGTTCCATACCCCAGTGAATAGTACGAGAATCCCATAAAATAAGATCTCCTGGTTCACAACAGGTCTTGATCTCTTCACATCCACGGTCGATGAACCATTGAAGCTGTTCATCAGTGAATATGTAACGGTCAACTGGGTCCCAAGTAGACTTGTCGATTTGAGTATCAAAGAACTCTCTGAATAATTTGTGAGATCCTCTGTAGACGACAAGACCACCATCCTCAGGACCGTGATTACTTAAAGCAAGCACTCCTTGGACACACTGGAGCCCATCCTTTAAAGGAGACTGGTCAACGTGTTGCCATTTACCTCTTGTGGGCTTGTCCTTCCGACCAGGAAAACTTATGTTTAAACTATCAAACGAAACCAAAAGCTTGTCAGTACCATAGATCTTTGCAAAGGGGTTTATTACACCATCTTCTTGTCTAATATCCCACATGAATTTTTCATGGGGGACACGGTATCCAGTGAAGGTGTTGATCTTACTTTGAACTGGAATGTTTTTGTTGATCCAAGTTTCGGGATTCTTGATGTCCAATTCCGTACCAAAAGAAGTGATCCAGTCGAAGGCTTCATTTTGGTACACCTTGGCTTTCTCTTTGGTTAACGCTCCTTTGACAACTGCAAATCCGTCATTGATTAAGTCATCTCTCCAATCACCATAAGTTTGGGAAGTAAACAGTGCTTCCATATTGGAAAAGACTTCTTTAGGAACCTTTGCTGTTTGTAGAAGGGTTTCGCCCGGGAGTTTAGGAACAATCATTTGTTGTACATCGACAGATGGAGCCATTTTGGGTTATGGGAATTTTGGGATGAAAGAAGGGATGATGTTAAACATTGACTTTATGTCTAGGGAGTTTCTAGATGATGGAACTGACCGGCGAATTTTTCAGATTAGATAATAGGCGGGGGGGACGGGGGGGAGATGTCCTGTAGATAAGCAGATTTGCGATACAGACGGTCTCTTTTAGACAAAGTTAGCGCTTTTGTTTTTGATCGAAAACGATAAAGTCCCCCCCCGGTGACTTTATCGACTATACGTGGGGGTGATTTAGTGGGTATACGTGGGGGCAGGGTGGGGGATGTTAATTAACACGATCTTGTAGTTTGAAGGATTACTCAGCTACTTCGCATGAGGCATTGCCGCAAACAATCCGCATAATTGGGCATGCAATCATAAATACAAAGAGCCAGTAGACTGCAAATGAAGTATCATTTGAATGAACTTGTGTGACACAATATGACACTATTTGATATACAACGATTTAATTGCAGATTTGGTGAAGTGTCACCTCAACGGAGCTACCTAATAGGGATAATAGTAGTAGCTGTACAAGGCAGGATCTGTGTTGTTTCTAATTGACTCAGAGGTTCTGCTGGAGGTAGAACTGGAACTGGTGTCAGTATCCAAGTCAGGGTTCAAGTTTTGGTTTTTATTGAGGACATGGTTAGGGCCGGTACTGGGAAAGAACCTGGGTGCTTCGTTATTGTAAACATAATAGTAGTGGCTGTTTTCTACGCCTCTAGTTACGGAGTCACCTTTGGGTTCCTTGTACATGTTGAAGTTTTTGGGTCCTCCTTGAGTATGAAAAGGTTTGACCCTCTTCAACATATTAATTGGAGGTGGAGCTAACTGAACCCCGAGTGGATTTTTATTATGGCTGTTGTTGTGCTTGTGGTGAATCTCTTTGTATTGCACATGGATATTCTTGTCCTTCAACATCGAGTGATTTTCAATTTCCACTGCTCTTGCAGCTCCAACTTCTTCTTCGTAAGTGATGAACGCAAAACTGCTGCCATTAAGCTTGGACTGCCTTGAAATGAACTGCACGTTGGTGATACTGCCATGACGACTGAACCGTTCCCTTAAATCAGCTGCAGCCACATCGTTACCCAAATGACTAACAAAAACCGAATACTTGTCAAATCCCATTAATGGGACTGGTGTCTTACCAGGTCTATCTCTTTTTCCAAAAGCCTTCTCTTCGATGTTTTGAGCCCATTCGATGTGGTAGTACCGCTCACAAGACAAACTGGCGAATGCTCTGATGGCATCATCTCGGTACACAAATTTGATGAACCAAAACTGTGAAAACGTTTCAAATTGTAAAGGTACACCATGCTTATCGGCTGCCAACATCTGTTCTGTTTCACCCAATCCCTTGATAACTTTCCGGACCTCAGACTGACTTCTTGGAGTCAGAAGATCAATGAAAAGAGTTCGGTTCACTTTAGCAGCTTCACAGCGTAATTTACGTCCGTGCAAAAGGCTGTTATGACCATTTGCGATCGCCCGGTGGCAATCTTCATCAGTCCGATACTGAACAAACGCATATGGGCGATTGCGTACATCTCTCAACACCTTGATATTTGTCACTTGGCCATACTTCAGAAAATGGTTGGATACAGCTGCACCCAACACATCGTCTGATTTGGTAGAACACAAGCTGGCGACAAAAACGCAAGCGGAGGGTTTTCCTCTAACGGAAGAAGGTTCGTTTTCTTTGTTGAAATCGAATGGGGTCTCCAACTTCCCAGTAGTGATACCAGTATCATTGGTATTTCTGGAGGTACGAGTATCATTGCTGGAGCTGACACTAGTGGATACAGTGGAAATTTCAGTGATAGTGGATCTGGCGGTATTGGTGTTTTCTTCCCAAATCTGGAGGTGTTCTTTAGTGGTGTTTTTCCCGGTGGATTTGGATACAGACCGTAAATCTGCACCCAGAACCACCACCGACTCCAAAATTTCCTGGGATATCGCTGAGGGGATATCCAGCCTTTTAATATCATCCTTTCTCTCTTCGGAGCGTTCTCTAAACTGCATCAATAAAATGAGTCTGGCTTAACAGGTTTGTGGAGGGAGAGGTTTTTGCAATATTTTGCCGCGAAGATAGATACGAATTTGACTGCAAAAACTCAAGTAAAACCATGCAACTTTCTAACAAAATGACGAGAATCGTCCAATACACCATCGGAATCATCAGTATGGCACTCTCTGCAACTCTCATGAAACAAAACTCTCTGATCACAAGTATCACAGCCAGTTTGAATGATCTAACTGGTCAAGGGCTCAATGTGACTACTCCTTCGGGGGCCAATATCGTTTCTTTAGTTTCAAGTGGAATGACATTAGCGAATAAAGGAGCTCTTTTCACCAGCTCCAAAATAGAAAGTGGGAGTGTTCTGACCGGCTTCTACAAGAGAACACGCTACAACTCGAAGTTTTCTGTAGCTGGGCTTCCCATTAGTCAATTTTCGTACTTGGCAGGGATTGCTGGGAGCGAATTCTCCGAGAACTTGATGTGGTTTAGTTCTCTGGTGGTGGGATTGGTATCTACTGGGAGCTGGGACTGTGGCAGCGTCTATTCGCTTATTCAAAACTATAATTTATCTGATTCCCAACAGCTTATTTTGAGTTCTTTCTACGATACTCCTGCGAATCATAATAATGGGCTGGGAGATACCAACAGTACGGTCAGGGCCACTCAGGACCTAATGTTGCTTCTGTTGAGCAGAAACTGCCAGACAAACAAGGCCCTGACGGCAGTAAATGTGTTGAATATGTTTGTGTATATGTTTACCAGTGGGATTACTGTGAGGTCGATGGTGGTATTTTTGCGGTCCTTTAGAGAGGCAGAGGGAATTGTGGAATTGGAGTATGACGACCCATTTTTGATGCCGAGGATCAAGGGAGTAGATTTGAAGGAGGCTGTGTAGATTGAATATACGAGAGGTCAGGTGCTGATAGGATCAGATGTACACGAGGTTTAGAGGACGCACTCGTACCAGCCAAACTAAAAGGCCACCAACACCAAAAGTGCTATCCAATGCCACTGTGGCAGCAACAGAGGAGCACTATTGAGAAGGGTATACCCACAGGCGGTAGCCGGGGTGGCAGCAGTGGTACCAGTGGTACCAGCTAAGGTGGTAACGGTAACAGTAGATGTGGCCACCGGAACCGGAATCGTAATGACTTCAATGGCGCTCGTAGTTGCTTGAGATGTTTCTGGGGGCCGATCAACCACGCAAACGGTTTGGAGGGTGGTGAAATATGAAGTTGCAGCTCTGGGGAGCACATAGAAATAGGTCTCCAATTGAGTGACAATGACATTGAAGACCCGAGTGGAATAAGCAGGGATGGTAAAGGAGTCAATTTCAGTGGAGTGGGAAGTGGAAGTGGTGGTGCAATTGAGGAAGTTGAAGGTGATGGGAACAGGTTGGACGGTTTGGATGGTCAAGAGAGAAACGGTTTGAACGATGGCGGTGGAGATGGAGTTGAGGAGGTGGGTGGCGACCAGGGAGGAAGTGGAAAGGGTTGTGGAGTATTTGGTGGAAGTGGTGGGATACTGGAAACAGATGGTGGTGTCAATGGTAGCAGTTTTACCGGTAGCAGTTGTACCGGTAGCAATTACACCAGTAATGGCGGTAGTAACGGTAGCGGTTGTACCAGTAGTACCAGTACCAGTGACGGTGCTTGTGCCAGTAGTACTAGTATTGATAGTAGTACCAGTAGTTTCAAGAGCACCAGTAGTACCAGTAGTTTCAAGAGTACTAGTTTCAGGTATTTCTGTGGAACCAACAGTATCAGTAGCACCGGCAGTACCACTAGTAGTACCACTAGTAGCACCCACACCCCCAGCCGTGTTCACAAACACCAACGGAAACGAAGTGATTGTACTGGCGGTAGTCACCAACACACACCCGTCACAATCATCAAACTCCGCATTGACCTTCGCGTTAGTATCCCAGCACACGTCACACAGACGTAGCACTTACTCTATCGGCAGCCCACACGGACGCTGCTAACAAACAAACACAATAAATATATAACATGTTATAGATCAATGCTGCAAAACGCGGCCTGGTATTTATATATCCTGGTGAGGACACTGCCATGATAAGGCACGACCCCTCCCCCACCTTTCCCTGCGGGCGCCCCTCGGAAACGGTCGGAACCTCAAGAGGGAGTGCGGCGTGCCCTGACCGAGGACCCAAGCCTTCTGTTTGGTTAACCCTACAAACCCTCGGAAAACGCCCGGTCAAAGCCCAGAGGTCTCCCATTGGACTTCTCCCTTCCGTTCCTCCGAACCCCCCCGTTCACTCCTGTAACCCCTGTTTTTGGCCCGCAAAAATGAAGATCCGAATCATGTGATCGGCACATCACGTGTCAACGTTTCGGTGCGGCGGGCACTGTGACCGTGTCAGCGGCATGGTGTGTCCCGTAGCCGGACCTACTCGGTGACATGCCGACGCCACTCGGCCCATACAACTCCCCTCTCGTCAGCAAAATTCTCCGTCACGTGCCGCTCCCTGTGTTTTGATGAAATTGGTTTGTGGTTTCCCCATACTTGGCTTCTCCACAATTTGAGATTCCACAAAAGACTGTTGCGGTTACATCGATAAATCGATACAAGGAAGCCTAGTGGGGGTTTCACTACCACCAGAGGCTTGAGAATGATAGCTCTGGTGAAGACGGTGACGGCGGTGAAATCTGGAGTGGTGGGAGAGTATTTTGAGCGAGTTACCGGTGAAACATGGGGCAGTCGCCGTGGGCTACCGCCAGTGGCGGAGAGGGCTGCGGCTGCGCACCGCCCTAAGCCAGCCCCATTCTCCGCGCCCTCGCCATCTCAAAAAAATTTTCCGTTGGCAAGTCCTCAGTCTCCCCACTTTAAGGATTTTGAGAAATCTCATTTCAAAAAAAAAACCAATCGTGTAACAAAAGGCCCGTACTCTTCCTAATGTCGCTAAAGCAAGAAGATTCCAGCCCCCACGATGACGGGTTCGACTATGAGGAGACCACCTCCGGCACCAGCCCCATGGGTCACGACGACACCTCGGGCGTCCTCGCGGCCCACGGCGCTTCCCCCAACAAGAGGGACCCTAACTCCAGACCTTATAAATGCCCCATGTGTGACAAGGCTTTCCACCGCTTGGAACACCAAACTCGCCATATCCGCACGCATACGGGCGAAAAGCCCCATAGTTGTAACTACCCCGGGTGCTTCAAGAAGTTTCTGAGATCGGATGAACTCACCCGCCATTCACGAATCCACACCAACCCGAACTCCAGGAGGAATAAAAACTTGCTGAAGAAAAAGGGCACGGGCGGTGGGGCTGGCGGCACATCCCACGACTTTGATACCAAGACCACGCCTCCGGCCAGTCCTCCTAATGGTAGGGCCGACCGGGGGTCCACCGCCACGTCATCCACCGCCGTGTTATCGGCAACTGAGACGTCTCCTGGTATCACCAGTGTTAAGATCGAGTCGTCCTCCGAAGACTTGCAGAAGATGCGGTCGATGTCGGACGAGGACTCGTCCCACGATTCGGCCAGTCCCATGGATAAGACGTATTCGAGTAGTTCCACCACCAACATCGACATATTGGCGTCTGCTGCCTCCCAGGAGCTCAACTTGTTGAACTCCAAGTCCTTGCCGTCGCTCACCGACTACTTCAAGACGTCCAACGTCTCCAACTCATTTTCCACCAATAATCTCCAATATTTGTCGAGTTTGGCGGTCAACCAGTATCATCCCAAACCCAAGCTCAATACCTTGTCGTCACTCAAGCGTATGACGCCGTTGGAGATGCCACACGCCTCCACCGGCATTCTCAAGGACACGGACTTGGACTATGTGAAGCAACGGCTTAAGAAGTCACGGCCCAACTCCCCCACATTATCCACCAAGAACTTCACGCTACCCAACTCACCGGTGTTGGGCTTAAGTCTGGTCACCACCCCCATCTTGTCGGCCAACAACAGTTCGACCAACTTGCACTCATACTTCCAGAGCCATAATACCCATGGGACACGGCACCACGGGGTGCAGCAGCCGCCACCAGCCCCGGCCCCGGCCCCCGTCGCCCAGACCTCGAGCTACGCTGGCCTGGCAAACAACGAGGAGGACACCACGCACTTGCCCAGTATCCGGTCGTTGAAGTTGGACTTGCCGAAGAACATGTCGATTAATCAGGCATCCAGGTAGGATCCAGAGTCCATCAAGGGAGGTACGATCAAGAGTTGTTCAACCAGGGAGGTAGAACCTGCCGTCGACAGCTCATGGCAACGTTGACGGACTCTTCTTGTAATATAGAATGTAAAATAAACATTAATCCACTGAAACTTATGCAAGTCCCCATCTGGAACTTAACATATCGCATTAGGTAAAATATCCTCGCTCAAATTTAATATAAATATATTAATCGGTTCTAACCTTAATCCTACTCTACGTTGACACTGCTGGCTGAGATGCTTCTCTCCCAGTGTCTAAATCCCCCCGATCGACCAGATCTCCTGCTCGTCCTCGATTCGGTCACTAAACAACGTCTCTTCGTCTCCTCCCTGCTCAATTCTCTCCACCTCGATCTTCGCCAACCTCACTGCCACTCTCTTTGTGTAGTCGCCTATCGATCTTTTAATAAACTTCAAGCCAAGCTCAGCAACTTCGATATTATCTGGTTGTTTGTCAAACCAAGTGTTGAAAACCTGCTCTGTTTCAGTGAGCTTCAACACCGACAAATAACACTTTTCGGCAGCCAACTTCACTGGGATCACCATCGACCGCACCTGGTTGAACACAACCGGGATCACAAGGTCTAAGTTGTTTTCAAGGTAGTCATACTTCAATCTGCCAACCGTTCTCAACACAATGATGGAAATACGCTTGGTATCCACAAGTACATCGGGATTCGAAATCAACTTACACAACTGGTACACCAACCGGCTGGCCTGGTCCTGTGAAAGCTCTGCTTCACACAACAAGAGTTTGCCGATGGCCATGGCGGAATTGTCACCAATGAACGGGTCGAGGATGTCGCTCGAGGACACTAAGAACTCGGTGATGGGGTCCAATAGACTCGTCAACTTGGAGCTCGACTCCTTCAAGAACGCATTGAGTCCAATAAGCGAGAACCTCAATTGGTCTCTATCCTTGGTCAAAATCTTCGTCTTGACAATGGTTTCGGTTTCCTCCACTGACAAGATCTTGGAGAGTGTTCCCAAAAGTTTGGCATACTGCAAGCTGATTTTACCCTTGACATTGGCAAACTCATCTTCAATCAAACTCATGATATTCTGCTTACTCGACTCGTTCAACTTATCACCGGCCTTTTGAACGATTTCCAAAATGGCCTTTAACATGGTCAACTTGATTTCCTCAACATCGCTATTTTTGCAGCCACTGATCAACTCGATAATCAACGAGTCAATACGTGGTTGGAACTTGATCAAGATTCCCAACCCTTCCACCGACCGGTTTCTCAACTCGTCATTGTTGGGATCACTCAAGAGCCGTACAAATGTTCTTTGTAACTGTGGAATAAAAGGTCTTAAGAATTGTGGGATCTTCAACAACAAGTTGTTGATGGCCATCAAAATGCTGGCCTTAATGTTCGAGTTGACCTTTTCACCGATTACTCTGATCAATGGACCCGTGATCACGGTGGAAAATGGTCTTAAGTTTTCTCCAGGAGTTTTTTCCACAATATCGGCAATACCCATCGCACTTACTTCTCTTTGTTCACTGTTACCGTACATCAACCCTTGCAAGAAAATCGGTAAGATACAGTTGGGGCCCTTGGGCAACTTGAAGGCATCCAACTCTTCACCTTTGACTCCTGTTAACATCAATGATTGCTGAGCGGGCTTGGCCAACTTTTCAAGTGACTCCTTTGGTTGGGCTTTGATCAACGCACTCAAGGCTTCAAACGTTCCCTTGACCACTTCAGCAGACTTGTCACCCAAAGAAAGGATAAACGATTGCACCATGTCCACCAAGTAAACAGAATAGTCCAAGTTTGTGTTTTCAAAGAACATTGCCAATCTTTCGAAAACAGCTGCTCTTTTTCTATAATCTTCGTGTTTGGTCAACGACAATAATGTCTGCATCAACGGGTTGACTCCGTCTTGGTCATTAATAGAAGCCAAGATCTTGTCCAACGACTTCTTGATGAAATCACGGTTGTCTTCCGAATCAGCACCAATAATCAAGTCCATCAACGTGTTGATGATCAACGTTAACTTTCTGTATAACGCATTTCCAGCCACTGACGCCAACGAACTCAAGGCTCCCACCTTAAAGTTGTCGATGGGAGGAGACAACAACGTAGGGATCAAGATTGGGAAGATCACATCAGACTTGGTCGACATGATATCTTGTAAAGCCAAAAGAGCGTATTCGGAATCGTTGGACTCCAACTTATTCAATAAGTTTGGAATGATTTCGTCAATGACCTTCTTGCCCAACTCGGTTTGTAAAGTATCAAATGCCACTGCAGAGGCATTTCTGACATTGGCAGATTCGTCCATAAGAGTCTTATAGACTATTTCAATAAATATGTCCTGGAACTCAATTAACCCTTCCTCAGACGTGGACTTGATCAACTCCGTCAATGCAATACAAACACCTTCCTTGATGTTGGCATCATCAGACTCTAATAACTGTAACAAGTTGGGTAGAACCTGTGATAATGAGTTGCCAGCCCCGACTCTCTTGACCATTTCTCCCATGGTATTGGCTGCAATGGTCTTTTCAACTTCTTCATCGGATGCCAACTTCTTGATGATGACTTCCACAAGAGCAGGTAAGATCTCCTTGACCATCTTAGGAGTGTTGGCCACAAGAGCCTTCCAAATCTCAACAGCCTTGTTTCTGACAATTCCATTGACATCACTTCTACACATGAACAACAATGCCAACACTGTATCTCTGTGAGACTTACCCAAGATCGAGATTAAGGACTTGTTAATTTCACCATTGTTGGTGTCCAAGTCCTCTCCATCGATCAACTCGTTCTTTCCAGAGATTCCAGTGACTTGGAACAACAAGTCTCCGGTCAATTCGACCGACGACAATCTGATTCGGTAGTTGACATCGTTCAACCCGTTTTCCAATTCGGGCAACAACAAGTCAATGGCAATCTTGGCGTAGTTTCTGACAATCAACCTTCCTGACCTCAAGGCCATATCTCTGATTTCTTCGTCTGTGTCGGCTAAACCGTTCAAGATGGGAGGAATAATTTTACTCAAGTATGGAGCAAATTGAGAACCGAAGCATACTGGTAAGTACAAGAGTAACGGCATGAAACCTGCTCTGACAAAGCTCTTGGAAGACTTTGCATTGGATAAGATCACCGGCAAGAGCTCGTCCAACTTGCTTAATCCTAAACCACAAATAACTTCAGCCAATGCTTGAGCAGAACCCAACCTATCCCCAGCTTTAGCTTCATCTTGCAAGTTTCCTAACAACTTAGGAATCAAATCTGGGAACTGTTCCTCGCCCAACTTCTCCACCAAAGAACCCAAAGCTCTAGCAGCAGTGGATCTGGTGGCAGGAACGGGGTCCACCATGGAAATCTCCAATTCTTGTATTAAGGTGTTCAAGTAAGGTTTCAAATCCTTCGTATCCACCAAAATGGCCATATTACCAACAATTTGACAGGCCTTTCTTTTGGTGGATGCAGACCGGTCCTTCATACCTCTGTGGATGACGTGGATAATCAATGCCAATGAAGGGCCATCGATGTAGTGAACAAATTGGGTTTTGATCAACTTGTCCAAGGCCGCATCGGTATGCCTGGTAGGATCACCAATGGCCTTGATCAAGTCAGGAACAACTCTTTGGATTTCCGGGTTTCTGATGACTTCCCCAAATCTCTTAAGAGAGAGATCTGCTGCTTTCCGGACCTCTTTATGGGTATCGTTTAAGACACCCACGATTTCTGGAATGATTATCGACAACGAAGAAGACAACTGTGCTGGGTCCAAGTAGGCCATTGAACCCAAAAGTTCAACAGACCCTTTCTTGGACCGCCAAGCAGTCTCGTCCAAGTGGGAAATAGCCAAAGGAATCAACTTCTTGACGCCAAAACTCGTTGTGTTTGACATGATGATCTTAGCAGCTCTGTCTGTGGCCAATCTAACTTCTGCCGACTGATCTCCCAATGACTTCAAGAGGTTGGGCAAGATCTCAATCACGTAAGGTTCAAAGAATTTACCCAACGTGAAAGACAAGCATTCGTAAGCCAAAGAAACAGACTCTCTTTTGATAGTGCTCTTCTTGTCTTCAACGGCATCCCCCAATAATCTCATTACATCGAAATCTTGCAATGCTTTAATACCCAATCCTTTCACCACCCCGGCAATTCCATAAGCAGCACCTTTCCTGGTGCTCACATCATGGGATACGTCAAACAAGTCGTCAAAGAGTCTGTCGACGTAGGCTCGCAAGAATTTTGTCTCGAACAAATGCACCAAGGATGCCAAACACTTGGAAATGGCAATCTGGACATTTTCACTCGGGGTCTTCAAAGTCACGATTAATCTGTCCAAGATGATGTTGATTCTGTTGTCACTCGAATCAAAGTGTTTTCCTAAGGATCCATACAAGATGATGATGGACTCTTTGATGTTATTATCAGTGATGGTTTCAAGGGAACTCTCAAAGATGGGCACCAAACTCTCCAAGTGGTCCAAACTGAAGTAGCTGATGATCTCTATACCCGAGTCCTGGAGTTCCTGGCGTACTAATTCGTTTTTGTCGTTCAAGGCCTTTTCATTGATCAAGAACTTAAACACCCGGGCGATTTGGGCATCGTTGAACAATGGAGTCATTAACTTCAACGTCAAGGCCACAGTGGATCGCATTTCCCATTGGTCTATGTTGGTGACTGAGCTCTTGATAACCAACCCAAACTCATCCAACTTGGGGGGTGGTGGTTTGGAGTGAGTATCGTAGAAACTGAACATAAACTGCAAGAATTCATCCAATTTTCCCAGTTCGAATCCTTTCACAGAGTCAAAGATAGAGGTTGCGATTGACAATCTCAACCCTGAGTCTTGTTCGTTGGAGAAAGACTCCAAGATCTCGAAAGGAGTGACTTCGGTAATAGTGAAGCTGTTCTCACTCCAGATGGTTTGAGATACACTGGCAATACGATCCTCATTATCGTGAAGAGTGATCCAGATCTCGTTGCAGGTGTCCATGGGCAACTCGAACTCCAGATCAAGCACTTCCAAAATGGTGAGTTTGGTATTGACATCAGAAGTGATCAAACTATCAAGCAATATCTTCAAATCAGGTACTTCAAAGTTCAAAGAAATGTTGGAACACACCGACATAAAACAGTCCTTGGCCATCTTCAGCTTGGAAGGCAATTTGATTAACTTCAAGATGAGGTTCAAGATGTCGTACCTAGGAATGAGCTCACTAGCAAAAATCTCCGCATGGCTGTTGAGGATCTCAATGGCCAAAAGAAGTTGTTCTTCCTTCGGGTCTTCATTCACAAACTCGGACGTTGTCACAAGCTTGGAGGATTTGACAGCCACGTCGTAGCCAATGCTCAAGATCTTGATTAACATTGGGTACAAATAGGACATGGAAACAAAGTCTAAGGTCATTTGGTCCGAAAGGAACTTGATTCTGAACAAGATCCTGGAAATAACCGAGTCATCCACCAGTTGGTTTGTGTAGAACTTGATGGTGTTCAAAGCTACCAACTGCTTGAAACTAAGGTCAAAGTTGGACCAAATGCACGTTGATAAGTGTATGAACGTGGTGGAAAACAAGTTGCAGGTCACTCTGTTGATCAAGTCAAAGTTCTCAAACAACCCAGTCAAAATGGTCATCAAGCTGGGGAACCAGGTCTCAATGTCGGTGTTGAAGTTCTTCGAGATATCGACCAACTCGTTGATGATGTTGAAGTCCTTGATCAAGTTGTTGACTTTGGTCTGGGTGTCTCGCTTGATAAGGTCTTCCTTGGCTTTCTGCTGGTTAACCAACTTTTGGTCTTCTTTGGACACCTTCTTCAACTCTTGGCGCAAGTCCATTTCCCACTTCTGGGTTTCGTAGTCCTTGGAGTTCTTATTCAACTCGAGCTTTGAGTTCTTCAATACATTCACCACCGGGAACTCCGAGTCGTTCTGCCAGATCTTAAACGTGAGATCGTCGATGTGGAAGTCCAACTCGTGTTTGAAGGAAGATATCAATTGGGGGATAATGAGCTTAGGCACCACAAAACACAACTGACCCATGGTGACAATAGCACTTCTGTAAATAGGTGAGTCGGTGGGCTGGGTATCCAAGATCTCCAACGTCAATTGGTAGATTGAGGTGAAATTCTCGGTGATGTACTGTTCTATGGGCAAAGAAATCAACAGGGTCAAGCCGATCCACCCGTTTTTAATTTTGAACGGTTCGTAATTTGCAACCAACGTTAATTTGGGTGAGTTGTTGATTCTGATCAACTTCTTCAACACATTCGAGGTGTGTTTATAGTCTAGGTTCAAGTCGTCGGTGGCTGAAAGAGTATCAGCTTTGACAAGGTAGTCAAATGTTGAATCGATCAACGTTCCAGCTATCTTCTCGCGGGTTTGTGAGTCGGAGACCACAGATAAACAGTGGTTTCTGGATAACAGTGGAGCATTGGACGATGCCAACAAGTACAACCAGCAGAACCCATAGTCGTCTTTGTGGAAGTCAGGCCCCACGATTTCCAAGAGTTTAGCACCCCAACTAAGATCATTCGGTTCAGTTAACTTACTGAATATCTTAATGGAAATGACGTGAATCTTGTCGTTCACAAATACCTTGTCCAAATCCACCGGCAAGTCGAATTTCTTGATGATATATATAGAGACGAAAATGCAGGAAACACCTTTGCTGTTGACGAGGATCAAAGGTGAAGCAAGGAACTCGCTGATGGTGGCTGCAAAATCCAAGGATTCGACTTTCTTCACATCGTTGAACTTGGGATTGGCCTCGAGGAAGTTCCCGATGGCCGTGAACCACAAGCTCCTCAAGTTGGGTTTCTTGTTCTTGGATCCATCATTGACCAAAGCCTGGTACGTGGGAGCGAACTCAGAGTTGAAGTAGTTGGTAACAAATGCCTGGATCAAGTGTGTTAACGTCTGTTCATTCATATCTTTTTTTATTATCGGCACCAATGCGTCCAACAACAGCTCCTTGTTGTCGAAATCTACATGGGCAACCAACTTGTAGATCAAGACCTTGGAGTCCACTGTGGCAGTCTTGGCCAAGTCAATTAAGGCTCTGTAGTCCGAAAAGCCCAAACGCACCAACATGTTGTAACACTCACTTCGGACAGTTTCCTTGGTGTTTTTCAACCCGTTCAAGACCTTGGCGATAAACTTACTATCGTTTATGGCCTGTTTGACAGGTGGATGGTTAATGTTCTGGAGAATCCTAGGAATCAAATAGCCCAACGAAAGTTCCGAGTTCTTCATGATAAGCTTTTCAAAGGGCGTCAATAAGTCAGTTGCATTGGTGGCATTGACAAATTCGTCGGTGAAGGCGCCAAACAATTCCAAGGAGTAAGAGTTTGGAACTTTAGGAAACGATGCGGTGATGAGGCTGTTAAATTGTTCGATAATCTCGGTGTCTTTTGTAGCCAAGTGGTAGTGCAACTCGGGAGACGTCGGCTGCAAGTCGACACACGTAGCCACCACGAGCGACACAAGATTAAGGTCGAAGTCACTGGAGATAAACCAGTCAATGAGGTCTTTGGTTAACACTTTTGACAAGGTGAGTTTTGTATTGGCAACAATGGACCTGAAGATTCTCTTATCTCTGGAGCCGTGATTGTGGGATGCCTCTAAACACATATCGAGGACTCTGGCCCACACATGTAGCAATTTGGGGTCATTTTTCATAGGGACCTGTTCGATAAGTAGAGAACACCAGGTCAACAACGTCAATAAGTCGGTCAAAGCAATGGACTTGTCGGACTCGGCGATGGGAGCAATGAATCCAAGGACCTTCTGGTGGTGGCCCAAGGCGATGAAGTGTCGGACGATATTGGCCACTTGGGATCTACTTTGACTATCCTGGTAATGGCTGTAGGATCTTAAACAAAAGGCGAGCAAGAGCGGCTGGTCCTCAGGAGAAAGAGTGTTTGCCTCCAATTGGTTGCTAAGGTCACGGAGATACGGCACGCGCACCTTGGTGAGCGAGCTACGTAGTTTTGTGCCGTCTATCATGGATGGTCTATGGTAGGCTTGCAATTGATCTGATATTACTCACAGTGCGAGTTGAAAAATTTTCCCATTACCCGGAAGCCAGGGACAGACGGGGTGCGGGAGCGTACGGCGGTACTCCAGGACGGTGCGGCCACCGAAACTACTTTTCGCAACCAAATCGTGAATACATTAACCATTCCAATAAATAATCTATAAACCTTTTTTTGCTCTTTCAATGACCGTGCTTAAAACAACACCGGTTACCGTACCGGCACGAGCCAAACCGTGACCAGTTTGCACATGGCTTGGACCGCCAGTTAGAGGGCCTTTCAACCCGTTTAAGCTCGCACTCGCCGTGCGCAAACTGACACTTGTTGCCATAGGGACAATAACTGTTCTTCATAAATGAGCCACACAACTCCGTCTTGTACAACTGCGTGTTCACCGGCTTCTTATCCTCGACCGACCCGGGTGTGCTCGAGATGGGGGAAAGGCTGACACCAGATTTAAAGGGGGAAGCCAGGTTGATGGACGCCAAGTTGGCGGCGGTGAGGGACTGGCCCAGCGACGCAAACGGGTCGCAAGGGTCGGCAAACGGTGGGGCGCTCGTAGTGCTGGCACCTGACGGGCCATAGATATAATTCAAGTCGTAGTCAATTCCCGAGTTCAAGAGCGAACAGGATGAGCTGGACCCAGTGGAGGTGTTTGAGTTGACCTTGGAAAGGGCGGCGAGGCTGGTGGTCAGAGCCACGAGAGCCACTGCCAGGGACACTCCAGGGGGTGATATCTGGCTGGGAGTTGCCTGGTTGATGGATACTTGATTTTGGGAATATTGGGAACCAGCCCAGATATTGTGGCGTACTGCTGGAGATTGATGTGAATGGAGGTGACGAGTGTCATCAGTAGACCACAAGTCGGACAACAAATCGATGGAAGTCATGACAGTCAAATGGGTAGTGCAGATGGAAATGCCAAAAAATTGGACAATTGCAGGGTATTTATAAGTTGGTAAAAAACTGGCGGTGATAATAAAAGATGTTCCGGATTTCGGATATTATTGCAAATAGGCCAATAACTGTTTTTGTGTCACGTTTCAGGGGATTGGCTACACCAGGGAAACAGCCGTTTAGGAAATGATGGGGGAAGTAAATTGGTGGCGGTTCTAGGTTGGGGATTTGGTGGGTTTTATATGTCCAGTCACAGAAGAGGAGAGTTTTTGGGTATGTTTTTGGTTGGCAGATTTGGGCCGCTTTTTGAAGGTAGTGCAGAAGTCTCTCCACCTTCGGAATTGCCTGATGGCGAGGGGAAGTGCGATGGGTGTAAGGGTCAAGAATATGAATAAGGTGGTGGTAGAAAGTGGCACGGGTCACGGGGAGGATTTGGTGACGGTGGTACTGGTGTTGGTGGTATAGGAGAAATGTTGTGTAGTTCCCCTCCTTCAGTTGGTGGTTGGTCCACACCGGCCTTCTCCTCCCGATCGTGTACAGGCGGGCCCTGGGAGGAGACCTAGTAGTGTGGTGGTTGATGTGCGATGGTAGTGCGCGGGAGGTAGTGCGATGTTCATTTGCCCGGAGATTAGATTTATTGGTTTGGCGATGAGCACGAGACACAAGAAGAGGAGAACCAGGAACTCGGAACCAGGAACTCGGAACCAGGAACTCGGAACCAGGAACTCAAAACCAGCAGCATAAACTGCTAAATAAAGATTACATATTAAATAGGAGCTATTACAAAAGGCAAATCCAGACCTACTGAGCAGTTCCACCCATCGCCCTAGGCTAGCCACACTGGTCCCAGGCCGACCCACGCTGGCGCCATGCCACCGGTGCGCACCATCTATTTACATCAACGCGCACCAAATCAAATCAAACCCACCGCGTTCATGCTAAACAACTTGGATGCACAGCACAGGTGGATCTCCCGCCACAAGCCCCAGATCCCCAGTCCGCATCTATACCAGCTGCTTATTGACACGTCCCAGGGCCTTGGAAACCAATTTAATCCCGGAAAACCGTCAGTACTTCCACCTGCTTCCCGCACCGTCGCCATCGGCACCATTCAAGAGTACACCGTCACTGGGGTACCACGCAGCACACCCGAACCTATCCACACCAGGAACACTCTCGCAAACTCCAGTTCATCCGCCGGCTTTGTGGTACCCAGTGGGCCTGATAAACGTCCAGTTGATGATTTTGATAGTGACGACGAATTACACCATTTGTTGATAAAACGATCACGGCCCACCGAGATAGCAGCGAGGTCCACGGGAACTACGGTCCCAGCCGCCGCAACTGGTACTGCCGCAAGTGCCCATCCAGGCGCCCCAATCCGTCCCACTCCTTCTGTAAACATCACCAAACCAATTAGACCGAGTACAAACACCGTATCAAACGGTGTGCCGCGTGCCGCCGCCGCCCATGCTGTCGGTGTAACACCATTTTCCCGTGCCAAATCCGTCTCCAGCTCGTTCGAGCACCCAACTGCATCGACTATCAAGTCGCATACCAACGATGAAATGTACCAGAAATACATCAACTACCTCGAAATCAAGTGCAGCCTTCTCTCCCAGAGGTACCTGATCTTCGAGTCGTCCTCCATCTCTTTGGACGAGAAAAATCGGTTCATTAGAGAGGAATTTACCCCCAAATTCGCCAAAATTGAATCGAGTTTGGATAGCATCAAGAACCTCCTCCCTCGATTTGCCCTCAAAGACTTGAGTCAGATCAGCGATGTGGGGGAGGTAGAGATCACAAGTTCCGTGCAAGTTCCCGGTACTTTGAGTGAAATACCTGAAGTACAAGTCCAGAACTCAACTGCCAACGTCAGTGAAGACGATTTCTCGGAGCTCGAAGTCACCCAGGTCAACTTGACTAAGCCCTCACGGTTGCCAAACGACGGCTTGATCAGCCTATCGTCCGAGCCAGACGTGTTTGTGGCAGCTCCTAGTTCACCACCTCGAACTCCTTTGAGGTCCGAAGACGACGTGGAGGACGAGTTTGGCCAGCACGAGATGGACGGGTTGATGACGCCTACTCACGAAATCGATGATGCCGATACTGACTTGAGTGGGTTTGTGGTTGACGATGTGGATGTTGAAGATACTGAAGATATCAGTGAGTTTGGTAGTGACGCGGAAAGCATAGCAGAAACCCAGTTCCACATCGATCAAGACGAGTTGAACGATCTAAGGTTGAGCCAGGATGTGGCCGACAACTTTGGTATCAACTATGAAGAAATGGATAATGATCTTGAGCTCGACAACGACTTTATCACCACCCAGTTGAACGATGAGAGGGAACTCAACTACGAGGTGATTGAAATCAGTGACGACGAAGAGGGTGTTTCGGACCTCGGAGGTCACACCACTTTCGTGAAGCCTGAAAAGACTAGTCAGAAGGCTAGAAAACCCGCATACGACGAGTTTGATGAGTTTGACGACGAGTTTGCTGACGATGTGGTTGAAATGGGTATCACTACCTCCATCGACATTATCCGTGAACAACAGAATCGGTACCCTGGGTGTGAGCCGTACATCAAGGAAATCTACTCGGTGTTAAACAAGAAGTTTAAGCTACAGAATTTCCGATCCAATCAGTTTGAAGCCATCATATCTTTGCTTCAAGGTCGAGACGTGTTTGTGTTAATGCCTACCGGAGGTGGGAAGTCTCTTTGTTACCAGCTCCCATCCTTGATCAAGATAGGTGCCCGAAACCAGGGAGTTACGATTGTCATCTCCCCATTGATTTCGTTGATGCAAGATCAAGTCCAGCATTTGAAGAACAAGAACATCAAAGCAGGCATGATCAACTCCAAGATCGAGTACCTGGAAAAGAAACAGATTATAGACTTATTTAAGACCGCCCAGTTGGACTTGGTGTACTTGTCTCCAGAAATGGTTAACTCATCCGCCCAAATCCAGCGAATCATCAAGCAGTTGTACGATACCAAACAGCTCAACAAGGTGATTGTGGATGAAGCCCATTGTATCTCCAGTTGGGGTCATGACTTCCGCCCTGACTATAAAGCTATGAGTATCTTCCGACAGAATTATCCTGATATCCCCATCATGGCCTTAACGGCCACTGCCAACGATAAGGTCCGATTGGACATCTTACACTTGTTGAACATGAAGAGTCCCAAAGTGTTTAAGCAGAGTTTCAACCGGATAAACTTATACTATGAGATCCGAATGAAAAAGGCAGGTTTTGTTGAGGATATTCGGGATACAATCTTGGCCAAGTACAAGAACCAAACCGGAATCATTTACTGCCATTCCAAGCAGCTGTGTGAGCAAATCAGTATGAAGTTAAATCAATTCGGTATCGAGTCGGCATTCTATCATGCTGGAATGAGCACGGAGGACCGGTTCGAGGTTCAAGATTCCTGGCAACAAGAAAGACTTCGAGTAATCTGTGCCACAATAGCATTTGGAATGGGGATCGATAAGCCCAATGTTCGGTTTGTGATCCACTCGTTCTTACCCCGAAACCTAGAAGGCTATTATCAAGAAACCGGTCGTGCTGGAAGAGATGGCCTACACAGTGACTGTATCATGTACTATTCATACAAGGATGCTCGTAACTTACAGTTGATGATTCAGAAGGATGAAGAGTACAACCAGGCCACCAAGGATAACCACTTGAGTAAATTACGGCAGGTGATCCAGTATTGTGAAAATAATCACGACTGTAGGAGAAGGCAAGTGTTGCAGTATTTCAACGAAAACTTTGATCCTAAGGACTGCCAAAAGCAGTGTGATTCTTGCAACAACAATGGCAGCGAGATTCTGCGAGATTTCACAGATGTGTCCCGAAGTATTATCCGTCTAGTGCAGTCCATTCAGAACGAAAAAATCACCTTGCTCTACTGTCAGGATATTTTCAAGGGTTCGAATAACTCCAAAATCGTCAGCAAGGGCCACCACCAATTGGAGTATCATGGGATGGGTTCCAAGTTAACGAAGCTCGAGATCGAAAGAATCTTCTTCCACCTCATCTGTGAAGGGTGTTTGGAAGAGTACTCGGTGATCAAAGGAGGTTTTGCCTCCAATTATGTGAGAGTGGGTCTACAAGCGTCTCAGGTGTTATCGGGCACCAAACTGATTGTTATCAAGTTTTCCAACATCATCCCAGAAACCAAAGCAACCCCTGTGTCGGGATTTGTCAGTGCCAAAACCAACAAGCCGATCAAACTCCCTCAAAATAACCTCTCAAGTTTCGTGAATGCTTCCAATCGGATGCACATTGATCGCTGCTTCCATGAGCTCAATTTGATCCGGAACCAGAGGAAAATCGAGCTTAACTTCCAAAATGCCAACAGCATTCTTAGTGATGACCTGCTCAAGAAATTGGCCATAATGTTACCAACATCCAAGCAGGAGTTCAAAAAGTACGTCAACAACAACGATCAACTCAACTATTTTATTTATTTTAAGAGTAAGCTTATGGAGCTCAGCCGCGAAAGGAAAGAGAAACTGGGCCAGAAGGTGGGGCGGAACCTTAAGACAAACGGCACTCATTCAGGCGGCAGTCAGCGTCATCGTGGGTCCAAATATTTCAAGCGGCCTGGCGCCGCAAAAAAAAAACGACTGCAAAAGACCATGCCCGAATGAGGTGGAGCTTTACGTTTACGGGACAACCAGGACACTTGTCACAATGGGCAACGTAATTGCCCTGTTTGCAACCAGCGTCATAACTCTGGCAGGCCCCATTTTAGATCAGCAAGGGCCGTCTTAATTGGGTATTAGAGTAGGCTGAAACGTCGCGATCTGCAGCTGCATATAAGACCAAATAACCTGATTCTGCCAGAGTAGGGGTCGGTAGTAAGGAAGGGTATTTGGGGGTGAAGGTGGGGGCCCCCAGTTGAATAGAACAAATCTAGAATGATATACGTATAAACAAGGTTTATTGAAGGGTTAAAGGCGATCTGCTACCCATTAGCAGTTGTCCCAATGGGACAAAACCGTTGAAACTTACTTAAGATATGTGACTAGTGAAATTGATTTTCCCACAAATATACGCCCGTTATAGGGCCCGCGGCCAGCAAGCCTGCAACTGGCTGTAGGTTGCGCAGATGTATGCAGTACCGGGGATCCTGGCGGGTTTCATTTCGGATATGGATTATTGGGGTGTTTATACAGGTTGCATAGGGGTCCCCTAAAACGGGCGGCGATCATTGCCGGGGTAACAAACCCCACTGAGAATGTAATGGGCATTGAGCGGCGAACCCGCTTTAAGATTGGATATCTTACGGTTGGCAGTAGGAGAGATCTACGCCCGCATGTATTTGCTGCCTGATGCACCCCTCGTCGATCGGGATTTGGGGGATAAATGCCGATATTCCAGGCTCATCATCAGGCCAAAACCCGAAATCACCATATAGGGTTTCGGAATCTTATTCCGTAGGTAGAGTTTAAATCGACATACAAAATAACCATGCTCGAACCAAGAATTGGATAAGAAGCAAAGGCGCCAAAAAAGCTCCATAAGGCTAATACCCGGTATCCATTGTATCTGCAAGGTACCCTGACGATTGTAGTGTCAAATGGCAATGGGGTATGAATAACAAAATGCCATACTATGGTGGCGGATAAGGAGAACAAAAAATCAAAACTACAAGAGGCGGCATGCGAGTCCGGAAGGCTTGCGGCAGCTACCGCACCTGAAACGGGGCCTTCTAGGAAAAGGGATTTGTGCGATAGGTAATAGTGCATGATGCATACATGAATCTTTATAAAAACGGCAAATTAAAACATTCGCAAAAAGTAAAATAAATATGAATCGCTTACCATAAATTAAAAAAAAAATTGTATACCCAGATTTCATATAAATACTTCGAAATACCCCCTCAATTTATTGGCTGATCACATATATCGACCTTGACATAATGTTTTCCAAACCCATTTACAATAATATAAAGTATCCACAGCCTCAATACAATCGTCAACTGGCATCGATTACCCGACTTCCAAGCTTCAGTGAGGTGATAACGCAAATTCCTTTACCAACTGAATTCCCCTTAAGCAAACCAGCGGGCGTGAGTGTCACCCCTGTCAGTGTGACACCCGCCATAAGCATTACTCCTGGAATTGGAGCCCGTCTGCTTTCACCAGCTTCTCCCTACCCTGTGCTGTATTATTACAGTTATGGGTACGGAGCTCCAACGGTGGCTGCCGCTACAGCCCCTAGTGTGCTGCCTGCCAGGAGCGTGTCGCCCAAAACATTATTGCCCACTCCTCCCCCCACCATGACAGCTGTCACCTCCACCTCCACTACCACTTCCACCGCCACCTCTCCAAAGGCCATTGGCTCTCCAGTGGTAATCCACAAACGCAAACATGTATGTAAGATCTGCTCTCGGTCCTTCACCACCTCCGGTCACTTGGCGCGTCACAACCGTATCCACACTGGTGAACGCAAGCACGTCTGCCCGTGGTCCAACTGCGATGCCCGCTTTGCTCGTCAAGATAATTGCATGCAACATTACAAAACACATACCAATGGCAAGAAACGCAAGAACAATTTGAGTTTCAAGAACAGGTCCATCAACTCCAAAAGTATCTAACGACATCACGACACCTTCTTTACTTTTTCTATATAAACTGAAGCTGGAGCTTCAATTGGGAATCTATGGTTATAGATGAGAAATGTACACTACGAACACCGTAATTATGTTTGGGCACTGCGGAGTGCTAGAGCTGGCATGCCGGGTTTTAAGGTGCAGCCTAATATCCAAGCATTCTGGCCGGTTTCATGCCGGTATGCCTTGGGCTCTCATAACAGGATAGACTGGGTTGGCTGCGGCGAGGTTTTTGTTGAGTGGGGCTTAAGACCGCAGGATCATTGACACTTAAACGCGCCTGCTGTTTCAAATAGTGTAAGCATTGATGGAGTAATTGCAATGGAAGTCATCGCAATAGAAATATCTCAAAATAGTATTGCGAGAATTCTGTTCAGAACTCAGCCAGCTTAATCCGAATGTCCCTACCGATGGCTGCAACCTTACCCTCGGTAACTGCAACATCTCAACGGCTCTGGTTCCCATCCCTGGCCAGCCCTGGTTCCCGTCCCTGAACAGCTCTGACTATTTGCTAATGCGACGTTTACATTATGCTGCGGGTGCTACCCTTTGAGGAAACTAGGTCCCAGTGGCACTGGAAGTCTCTCTGCTGGGCCGACAAGGCTCAAAAGACCCATAGTGTTTGTGGATGGTGGTGGTTTTGTTGTGACAATGCCACGGCTTTTGTGACGTTATTTTGCTGTAAACGAACGAAATGTGCCGTGAAACCAGAATAGTTAGCTGCAAGTCTGGAGCCTATGCCAGCCGTGACGCAACCGACATGTGAATGGTAAGACAATGGGTGACCTACCATTACCTTAAAAACACTACGGAAAAACAATCATCCTCCTCACCAAACACCTCGAAAAGCTCTCAACCAGTTCCCGCATCAGCCTGTAACAGTGAGCTAATTTGTTTTTCGTGAGTTCCTAATAAGCCCTCGCAACCAGGATCAAACCCTGACAATTGACAAGCAAACAATAGGAGTTTTCACGGGAATCTCGTGCGATGGCCCTGGCATAAATTAGAACAATGGTAGGTCCAGACTACAATAAATCCCCCGTATTGGGCCATTAATAGGATGGTCGGTATTTTTCTATTGCAGAATGTTTCTTATGATAGCTAGACGGGCCCCTAAACTTGAATGGCAGTGTCGATCTACCCATTTCACCTAGACGACGATTTCATCCAGGATTTTATCAACTTTGGCTCAGATCTTTGGTTAGGAAGAGTAAATCCTAGATGCATGTAATCTTGTGACAGGTGTTGAATTTTGTTTCATCTTAAGCCAATGGCATTCTTGTCAATGGTATGAACCCCATCCTATACTGTTAAATTGATGGAAACCCACTGTCGTCTAATGCCTCTATGTAAAGTACTAAAAGGATTCAGATTACAAGTCTCCTATTGTCTACACGTAGACTCGTCAAATTTTATGCTCCTTACATCCAAGTATTATGCATTAAACGCAAATTTTAAAAACAATTGGTGGGATACGCATGGAACAAATTTTCTAGCAAACAATATTTTTCCTTCAACTGCCAATCCTAACTCCTTCATTGGGCATAAACCACAGGTGGCAGCTACCCATCGGATCTCGAATTCCACTCTCCGCACTCCACTTTCCGCGCCTCAGTGGGGCATTTCAATGATTCCGCTGTCATTCCGCTGCTGATAACACTCTTTTAGGTTATACTTTTGGTTGCTACCATTAGAAGAGGTATACAGGCCGTCCACCACCTGCTGGGATAGGTAATAAATAAGCGCACATTAGCAGCTCCAACAACAGACTGCACTCACTCAAAAAATACTGGGAAAATAAATTGAAATTCTCTAGGGGTCGTGTCTTCCTCGAGCCCACCTCATATAATTACTGCTTGTCTCTTAAAACTAAAGAATAGCTATGATTGCATCGGTTAAATCGCCGTTTGCTAGATGTCAACGGTTATGCATGCCGCTTCCTGCACATTTACGCAAGAGCTCTGCGGCGGTTGGTGCAGGAACAGGAAGTTCCCACTACCATTCGGGGGAAACCCTATTCCTCCCATCCACTGTCTTGGCCTCCAATCATATATTTCTACATTTACTGATAGCCCAATCATATATATCATTAACCCAAGTACATTTCAATTAACGAGCCCAATTGTATTTTCGCTTCCATCGCTTCCATCGCTTGGCTCGCGTTTTTACTCGAGCATCGACCTCAAAGAAAAGGGGTCGCAATAAATCGGAATGACATCAGGCGGACCGGGGACAATCAACTCTAGATTTGGTTATGGTTACTTGGCGGGTGGTCCAGACGCACTAGGCATCCTCGGTTGGCATCTGGCTTGCCTAAATCGAGATGGGTCTAAACCTTAATTCCTTTTCGGTGGGGGTTTCGCCGACCCCACCGAAAAGGACCCCCC